CCAGAAGAGATCGAATAGTCATAGTCACTATCCACCAGCCCCGTTCAGAGCTATTCAGAGTGAGTAGACTTTTTACTGTTTTTACTGGAAGGATGTGCGATGCCGTGGCTAATGCTCAGGGCTGATAACCAGATGTAAGAAGCAGGCCATAGCCCATCAGATTCAATGTGCCTTTAAGTTATGTGGCTTTTAGACCATGGTGCTTCTATATGCTAGTTTTCTTCTAAAAGTTGACAAAAAGGTTGATGACTTAGCATGCACTCATAATACAGTACATGCATTGCACCATTTTAAACATACATGGTGTTGTTTCACATGTATTAATATTAGATATTAACATTGAATTAATGTAAATACATTTTAAGTTAACAAAAATAAGTTAAATAGTGACAAGCTACAAGAGCAAACATAAAAGTGAAAAAATACAATTAAGGTATAAGAAAAAATATAATCCAATCCAATGGTATCAGAGCTAACTGAAACCCTTTTTTTAGTTTGCTTTTATTTTTTTTAACTAAGTTTATCCACTTTCAAAAGGGAAAAGGTTTCAGACTCCTGAGGCATTATGGCTAAAAGCAACTACAACTAATTTTGTAAGGTTTACAATTACATAATGCCAAATGTTGTTAACTACTACCAATATTTTGCTACTTAGAACATTTTAATTTAACCTGTTTCATGACATAAAGTGTTCAGTGTTATAACATTACCATTGATTGACATGTGCATATGGTTTCAAATGACAATATATCTGTATTAAATTAGTATGTTTTACATTGAGCTCAATGATTTACATCAGTGACACAGTCAAGATTATGCTCAATAAAATGACTGAAAGATGTCTACAGATCTTTAACCGAATAGCTATCATGAGCCGAGGGGAACTGGTGTTCTGTGGGCAGCCTGAAGAGATGGTGGATTTCTTCAGGAGCTGCGGATATGAGTGTCCTGAGTACTGCAACCCCTTTGATATTTATGGTAGGACTTTAGAAGATCTGATTTTTCTTTAGACTTCAGCTTGAATTTGAGTGGATTATACAGTTTTTAAGATGTACTGGTATTAAAAAAACGTTTATCTTTACTGCTAAAAATATGGGTATCCAGTAAAGTGTTCCGCTTTTATTAAATCATCCTTTGTAATGAACAGTTGATCTGACTTCTGTGGACACACGCTGCAGCGAGAGGGAAGCCGCCACCTACAGCCGTATGCACGACATCACAACGGCCTACCAGAACTCAGAGATCTTTAAAAACATGCTGGGAAGGATCGAGCAAAGCTGCCAAGAACTAGACAAACCCATGATCCCTTTCAGAAGCAACGAGTCCCCCAACTGCCTGTCCAAACTGAATGTCCTCCTAAGGTAAAACAGAAGCCACGACACTGACTAAAGGCCCATTCATACCTAGGACGATAACTATAACGATAAAGATAGTTCTAAAAATCTTTCTAAATATAAAAGATTAACAGAGTCCACACCACAACTATAATGAAAATGGCACAGAGAATCGATATTGTTTAAATCACTTTCAGAATATTTTTTCCAGCAGTAAAAACATTGCCGGCCAATTTGAATCCATTCTGTTTTAAAGAGCTTGAGCATTTAAATTAATTCATGCATTTCTCTCTTTTACACACACACACAGGCGGACCGTGCGCAATGTGTCTCGTGATAGGATGGGCATTCTCATGCGCCTCTCTCAGAATCTCATCTACGGCCTCTTTATTGCTTTTTTCCTCATGAAGCTGGGTAAGGATGTAACAAAAGGTGCCGTGCAGGACAGAATCGGTCTAATCTACCAAGCTATGGGTGCATCACCATATACCGGCATGCTGAATGCTGTGGCTCTTTGTAAGTATCTCATCCACAGTCAAAGTGCCTCAAAATAGACGCATTATCTTGAGAGTTTGTTAGACATTTAACATTTAAGAGATTGTCAGAGTTTGTGACAGTGAGAAAAATATTTTGTGGCATTGCATTTCAACAAGGCAGCAAGAACTATTCACATATGTTTCTGATGTATCAAACATACATAATTCTTATATATTCCCAAATCACAGATTATATATCAGAATTGATGGTAAAGGTGATCCAGGAGTTAGACTAATTAAGCCAATGCTTTTGGGAAACGTAATCCCTGTCCTTTATATATCGGTTTATGAGCGATAAGAGTCTAATTTTACTGTAGGTCACTGGATAAGAGAGATAAACGCACAGGAGGTGTATTGCCTTACAAATTGCTCCTGCATGTCAAAGAATATTGCTTGACCTAAAACATAGAGCTCTTGAGATAGCATGTAATTCGTAACACTAGACGTGTCTGCTACTGTATTTTCCCTTTTTAAGTGTGGATAACAGTCTGTTTTTCTTGATTAAAAACAGTTCCTGCTTTAAGGGCCATTGCTGACCAGGAGAGTAAAGATGGCTTGTACCAGAAATGGCAGATGTTTCTGGCTTACATCATCCATATCTTGCCCTTCAGTATTATCAGTGTGTTCATCTTTACCTCTTTCCTGTATTGGTATGTATGGGTGTGTGTTTGTATAAAGCTACTTGAGTTCATCAGAGCTCGGGTCAGGGTTATTAGGGTTTAAATCCAGGGGAATGTCCTCAGGATCAAATACAATTTACTGGTTAATGGATCGTGACTGTATCTCTGTGTGTGGTTTGGTGTTTTAGGATTGTTGGGATGAACCCAGATCCCCTGCGCTTCCTGTGTTTTTCAGCAGTGGTCATGGTGCCACACATCGTAGGTGAACTCTTAACGCTGGTCTTGTTGGGTGTCGTTCAAGACCCTAATATGGTCAACAGTGGGGTCGCTCTACTCAATATAGCTGGAATCATGGTGGGCTCTGGATTTCTAAGGTGAAGAAATGATTTTGATACTCACTTGCCAACATGTTTGTTTTTTAGTACTAAAGGAATACACTATTGTTCGTAATTGTTCAGCATTTTTATTTAAATCTACACTCAAAGTTTGTTCTGAAAAATGTCTTGTTTTTAATTCTTTCAGGGGTTTTAAACAAATGCCTAAACTATTCCAGTGGCTGAGTTATCTAACTTTCCAGAAGTACGGCTGTGAGCTCCTTATCGTCACTGAGTTCTATGGCCTAAACTTCACTTGCAGTAAGAAAAATCATTGTCTTCAAACTTATGCATTCTCAAAATGGACCCTACATGAAATTGCTTGACAAACACATTTTTTTTTTTTACATTTCCGGTTATAATGAATTTCCCAAAAGGAAGTTGATGTGGGACAGAGGCTTGTTCCTTTAATAGTCCCTTGTAAATTAAAAAAAAAAAAATCTTACACTACCATTCAAAAGTTTGAGGTCAGTAAGGTTTGTTATTGTTTCTAAAAAAAAAAAAAAATTAAGCCTGTATTTATAAAAATGGAATGTCTAAAAATGTCTAAAATATGGAGTGTCTGAATGAGATGCAGGTGAGTGTGGCAGTGTGCAATCAGTCCCAGGTATGAAGCATTATGGGAATTGGAGATTTGTGAAGTGATCAGTCTGATGTGGAGTGCCCTCTGGTGACTCTTAGGGGCACTCCAGCTGGTGATCGTTACAATATTCAACATTATTACTTCAGTCTTCACCACAGCCTCTGCCTGACAGCCAGGGATCAACACCAGTAAACAGGGCAGAGTAAAATTAAATAAAAAATAAACTTGTGCATGGATATGTAATTTTGAACAAACACTGCAATATTCCACTAAAAAAATAAGAAATGTTCTCAGTGATTTCATAGTGACTTAAATGTCACCTAAAAGTTAATTTCTTTAAAAAAAGGTTCTGATCTCAAATCTTTGAACGGTAGTATATATTTGCTAGTTTTTGTCTGAATCAAATAGATAGACATGGATTAACTTTTTGGTTCTTGGGATTTTTAACACATGAATAAGCTGTGCATATGGACATCCTCTGACTAACCGTTTGTCTCTCAGCCCCTTTAGCTGGTTTGCCAGGAGCTTGTCTGGTAGACAGTGGTAATATGATCATAGATGAGGGTTATCCTGGAGCTCTCTCACGTTACACACTAGACTTCCTCCTGCTCTATGCCTTCCTGCCTGCGCTCGTCATACTGGGCATCATCAGCTTCAAGATACGAGACCACCTCATCAGACGCTAAGCTTCTGTGTGTGTTATTGTGCCTGTAAGAAAATATGTATAAAATATATGTTCTTAATTTTGTACGTAGGATATCTCTTGATCATATGTTGATTATATATCAAAAAAAAAAAACTAACATGAAAGCTGAATCTATCTACCTTTTCCACAGTTATAGATCCATTTTCTCCACAATGTTCACCATTATTGTTTGTGGTATACAGTATATTGTGATTGGCAACATGACTGTAAATGCTCTGTTATACATAATAAATATTTTAAAAAAAAGTTTATCCTGCTCTTTTAAAATGTATTTAGAAAGAGGTGGCATTGAATGGGTTAGACTAAATAAAGTCTCATTTATTTACTTTAGTTAATGTATTAACCAACATGAAATAACAATGATCAATACATTTGTTATTCACAGTACATTAATTACAGTAATGATAACAGATTTTGACAACTTGTGATTTTAATGATGTATTAGAACATTCTGAAAGTTAAATCTAAGATTGATAATTGCTGTAGAAGTATTGTTCATTTTTATAGTTCATTATAACTAAATTAGTAAACTAATGTTATCTAATGAAATCTTATTGTAAAGTGTTACCATTTAATGTATAGTGTTTAAATTTGAAGTGCCATAATACAAGTCATATGACAGTCAAATGAACGCATGCTTTTTTTGTGGATGTTTGTTTCATACACCAAGATCATATTGACCCCATAAAAATATTTACCCATTTCAGTCCAAATTTATATAGTGCTTTTCACAATAAATACAAATAAATGAGCATGAAAAATACGAACCTTGCAGTACAAAAAATAGTATACAGAAAAACTACATTTCCCATAGTGCACTAGGTGTCTTCATCATCAAACGGTGACGTTACCCCTCGCAACGGTAATCAAGCGCCTCTTTAGTCGACAGAACACTGAGGCACAGGACTATCTAAACTCGGTTCTTTGATGTAGAGAATTTGAAAAACACAACTTGTGATAATGCCTAAAATAAAGTAAGTTGTCGGTTGTTGTTTTTCACACACGTTATTTTACTCCTCGTTCAAGTTTACTAGCTAACTAGCCACCCAAGTGAGGAAGAATGGAGCTAATATGCATATGCTGCTATTCAAATGATTTTGTCTTGTAGTTCGGACACATTATGGGATATTGCTGCAGCGGAGGTACGCAGCAGGGAGAACAGGACTGATGAAGAGGATGCTGAAGAGGACGCACACTTCCGCACACAGAGAACAGTCTTCTTCGTGGGCAGTAAAGCAGGGGTAACGTTATGCCTACAAGATATCACTTTAACACACACTCACTGTTTATGGTCTTGAGATGGTATATATGCTAATGGTAAACAGGTTTAAAAAATAACCCTGTGAAGCTTGACATATAAAATAATAGGAAAATATTGATTTCTTTATTTTAAATGGAACAGTTTATTGAAACTTTAGACAAAAACTTTAATAAAAATCTAAACAAAAGTTGTGTCATATTTTATGCATTAGGCTTTTATGGCTCGTATACAGTTTTGTGATATAGTGGGGAATATGTAACACTCTCTCAAGGATGAAAAAACAGCTCAGGTTTAACCAGAGCCTCAATCTGAGCAAAAATATTATATTTACAGTTGCGGATGTTTAAATGGATATTATTTCTATGGATACATCTGAAAGCTTGTAATGGAAATCAATGATAATTTTATAACAGTATAACAGACTGCTCACATGAAATGTATAAATATCAGTTCAGATCAGTAGTGATCACTCTACATCACTTGATATAATGTCTTACCAAGATGATGCATGACCAAGTTTTGGTCATGTTGATAATTTAAAGATAAAATATTTTAGCCTTTATTGTCGGAAAACAACAACACACAAATACGAAACATTTGACCTTGTCTTTCAGGGCAAAACAACAATATTACTGCGGTTTCTTGACAGGTAAGTGCGAGGTGTCATGTTGTACATTTGAAGTTTTTAAGAGTCTTCATGTCGCCTCAGATTTGTGTTTTTCCCTTTAAACCAGAGATGAGTCAGCTAAACCTACTCTTGCACTGGAGTACACTTTTGGTAGACGAACAAGAGGGCATAATACGGTAAGGTACAGTGCTGTCTTCACTTCTTTATAGGAACTGATTTCGCTTTTAATTTACAGTATATAAAATGTCTATGTTCTCCTTCTCTGCAGCCTAAAGACATCGCTCATCTGTGGGAATTAGGAGGGGGAATCTCCTTATCGGACCTTATTCAGATTCCCATCACGGCTGACAATGTCAGGTTAGACTCACGGACACTGTACATTCATTCAGGATGGTAACCTGAGAGAGCCCAATTTGAAATAAATTTAAAATGTGGTTGCAAACATTTAGCAAGTACAATTATTTTTGCAGTTCTTTATCTATAGTACTTGTTCTGGATCTGTCTAACCCTAATGCTCTGTGGGAGACCATGGAAAAGCTGCTCGGATCCGCTCGAAGTCAGGTGGAAAAAGTGTGTGCCGTACTCCAGAAGACAGGAGAATCCAGATCAGGCACACAACGAGTCCCACGAATCCTTCACAAGGACTATCCGGTAGAGAGGATGACACAGTTGCTCTAAATCGAGTGTGTGCATTTATGATGCAGTGTATTACATGAAACAGTCTCTCTTCTACAGGATCGAGAGCTCATCAACCCTTTTCCTGTTCCGCTTCTTATAATTGGCAGCAAGTTTGACATCTTTCAGGTAAAACTTCACTGCATTGAAATGTTCAGATTCAGAATAGAATACTAGCTTACTGCATAATATACACTTCTGCATAGTACACATCTCCTTGTGAAAAGTGCAGTGTGCTCTGATTGGTCGACTGGCCAGTGTGTAGGGATTGAAACCGTTTCAGCTTCTCGGGTGTAAAGTTTTTTGTTTTTGTTTTTTTTGTTTTTTTTTTTGCGTATGCCTTTAAATAATAATACATTATTTAAATGAGGAATATTATGACGTGTACGTTTCCGGAGGAAAACTCAAAACTACAACAGAGATAATTCAGGGAGTATAACTCCCTTTGGATGCCGTGACGCCAAACCCCCTCATGGAAGAAAAACGGCATTGTGTTTACAACTGTGATAATGAGCGCTTATTTAGATGCTGGATTTTTTAAAGTATGTAAACTTTGCGGCATATACTCTTTAAAATACGTAAAAGAGTTGTACACACTGGTCTATTATTGTTCCTCCCATGGCCGAAACTGGTATTATGACACCTGCCGGGCCGGGGCTAGTAATTTAGCATGCTAATTCAGGTTAATATCTCTGCAGCACTATAACTTGTCATTTTTTAATGACATCATCAACCTTATTTCTTCTCATTCTTTTGATGCATGTAGCTCATTTTTTTGGATGTTTTAACCTCAATTCTCACACATGGCACCTTTAAGTGTCTTACTCAGGGACACATTGGTGTCTCACGGTGGATTTGAACCCGGGTCTCTCACATGTGTCATCATGTGTCTTATCCACTGCGCCATCACCAGCCCTTATCCACCATTATGAGTGGACACGCCTGCTACTGCCGGTTAGCTACAAGTGTGTTGTGGTGCTTGGTCCAATCCACTCTCAAAAGGGTTTCTCAGAAATTGCTTACTGCACCTTTAACACTTCAAACCTGGATTTTTGAACATTTTTTTTTATTAAATATTGAGAAAAACGTCTTAAGGTTTTCCAGTAAAAAAAAATAAAAAATAATAATATTAACCAAACTGTTATATTCATCTGTTTTATTCATGCTGAACTCCTGTCTCCTTGTAGGACTTTGATTCAGAGAAGAGGAAGGTGATTTGTAAGACTCTACGCTTCGTAGCCCACTTCTATGGAGCGTCATTAATCGTAAGACTGAACTCTTACTAAAGGATTTCAGAATTGATCCGTTTGGTGTAGATTTGAAAATGTTCATGCATTTCAACTTTCAGGAATTTGTAGCTTTAACTAAAACTGTTCAGCTTTGGTCTGGGTTGTGTCTGAATGCTCTCTGTCTCTCCATAGTTCACCAGCAGCAAGTCAGAAGCCTCAATGTCTAAAAGCAGGAGTTTTGTTAATCAGCTGGCATTTGGGACTGAAAGACCGTATGAAGCTTTACATTTGAGATATTCTTCATTCATGAAGTTATTTTTTTTTTCTTTATAAAAATAAAATTTTCTTTCATTCTGTTAGAAAGTCAATCTCTACAGACCCCAGCAAACCTCTGGCTGTTCCAGCAGGATCAGACTCCCTCAGTCAGATTGGTAAGATGCATTTTACTGTTGTTTTGGTTAAAGTCCAACAAGCCATCTTAAATTATCATATTTAATATACACTTCTGTTCATAAGTTTAGGGTCAGCAAGATTTGATAATGTTTTTGAAAAGTCTCTTATGCTCACTTGCATTTATATGACCAAAATAATATATATATAATAAAAAAGTAATATTGTGAAATATTTTTTACAATTTAAAATAACTGTTTTCTGTTTGAATATATTTTAAAATGTATTTTATTCCGGTTAAACTGACATTTCTTATTATTAGATGGTTAAAAAGAACAATTTCATTTTGAAATAGAATTTTTATAAATGTTTCCATTGACACATTTCATCAATTAAGCATGTCCTTGCCGCATAAAGGATTAGTTTCTTAAAAAACCCTGATTTCAACTAAAACTATATTAGGCAATATTTTTTCATTGTTGAATAAATTATATTATATGTTATACATGCATTTTTTATAACATCATATTAAAATGGTGAAAATCTTTAAAGGTTAAATCTTAAAGTCCCCCTGTAATCATCTGATCACACAATATTTAAACATTTTTCTCCTTTCTTCATGCCTTAAAATAGCTTCAATGTAACTCTACACCCTTACCTCATTTAGCATACGCGCTTCTATGAATATGAAAATTAGCCGCACCTCCACTTACGCACTTTAAATATGCAGTTTTACTTACAAATTTTAAAACCTAGCTCTCATTTGTATTGATTTATTCATCTTCTAGGTCCCCCTGTTTCCTCTGAGATTGATATTGGGAGCCTGCATGCCAAAAACCCCTTAGACCTTTGGAAGAAGGTTTTTGAAAAGGTTTTCCCACCTGAGGTACTTTTTGATATTACAAACCCGCACACACACCCCACACCTCCCACACACACACTAATATCAAATGTACCCCGATCATTTTTGTTTTTCAGAACACCAAAGAACGCAAAGAGCTGAAAGATCCTGCCAAAGACCCTCAGTACAGTGAGACCCTAATAGACTCCATCAGAGCCCAGAAAGACCAGGTACAAGACAAATGTTTACTGCCACTGTAAGATCCTCACAGCATTCAGATATTTGTCTTCTAGTAACCTCTAGTCCTGTGTGTTTATAATCCCTCCAGTAATATACTGTACTGTACTGATCCTCCAGACTGATATACAGTACTGTATGCTCTGGTTTACTTTAGAGTGCATATGACTGAAAGTTACTTGCACCTCACACACCCACTGCCCTTCAGTAACCTCAATATATATATATATATATATATATATATATATAATCTTGTTATTTAATAATTAGATTTTTTAGGAGAGACATAACTGCACAGAGAACCATTTTTTGTAGTATTTATCATTGTAAACATGCTTCAAATGTGACAAAAAATATCCAGATCTATGTTATTAGTATTATTTATTTTATATTTATTCATATTTTGAAAAACCTTTTTTGAATTTTTAGTTTTTAGCAATTTTATGTGCTTTTGTACAGTATTTAGCAATGCAATTTTATGTGCTTTTTGTACAAAAACATTTTTTTATTTCAGGTTTAGTACTTTAACTTAACTTGGTAACTAACTGAAATAATTTTATTTTTTTTATTTCAGTTAGTTGCCAAAGCAAAAAAAAAAATAATCTAATATTTTTTATTTCAGGTTTATTTCTATAATGAAAACGAAGAATGTTCATTATAGGTTCAGTCTGACTGATGAAATATATCAGGCACACACATGTATTTAATAAGTCAGAGACCACATTGCACAGTAATAAGCATCTTTTTTCTTGTCTCTTTTTTTTCAGGAGCTGGAGCAGTACAAGAGAGAACAAGCAAAGTCCTGGAAAAGTTTGGCTCTGGATCCATAGATTTCATTCAAAAAAACACCAGGTTCAGCATTAACTCTATTTTAACCTTTTGCAGTTCACACATTTCTAAATCAGTATAATTTGAAGTATAACTTGATTGTATTTTGAAATCGTTTTTTTTCCCCCTGAATTATTTAAACCGAAAACACCACTCTGCTTCAGGATTTAAACAAAAATGTTTATTTAATATCCCGTTCCCCCCTTTACTGAGAAGATGCAAAATTATGTAAAAAGAAAAAAGTGCCATAACAATTAAATGAATTGAAAGAAACAAAAATAAATTAACCATACATTAAAAACAACAAAAAGTTGAAAAAAAAACAACAACAACAACACTGATATGATACACAATGTGTAAACCACACTGAGAAAATCTATGTACCAAGCACCTTTTCTGCCGTTCCACCCTCTCATACAGCGGCAGACTGTCACACAGGTTGTTTTCTGTCAGAGGGGCGTCCCAGTGTAAAGGCATCTTGTAGTGAGTACAGTGAGATGTAGTGGTGTCATAAATCCTTTTTGTGCTCTGAATCATTCCATTTCACATTACTCCTCTGATGTGCAAAATAAAACCGTAGCACAATGAATCAAGTCTTTTCATCCTTATAAACCAAAAGAGTAAGCTGAGAATACCGGGCACTTAGTGACATCATACATGTATAAAACACACAAAAAAAGCCCACTGGATGTATTCTGTCTGGTATTTATCTGCCCTTTTGTCTAGGTCTACAGTTACACTATATGCCAGAAAACGTCTTCCTACAGGGCTCCTAAAGAAAGGCCAGGACAGGTACGTGGTTCAGGTTTACTCCAACATCCTCCTAAAAATACAGACAAGCAGCAGAAGGAAAGAAATGGGTAAACAGTAAACGCACACAGAGACATGGAACATTTTCATGAAAAGAAGGCTAGTAAGTATCATAGATGTCCGTCTATGCAGAATGTTAGTACACACGCGCTTACAGTCATAAGGCTGATTCAGCGATCTACAGAGCTGATCGAATGAGCAAAACGATTTAGCCAGGGTCGCAGTTTACCAGTCTGTTAGTGCATGCCATGCAAGTTCCCTCTTTATGCTTTTCTAATCGAAAACTACAAAATTATGCAAATAATTTCAATGGATATTTCAGCCTCCAATGATACAAATTCTGTGCATTAAAAAACCCCCAAGAGCATTATTATTAAGCTAATCAAGAATAGCTTGAATGCACAAAATTCTAAAACATTTCCCAAAAATGACAGTTATCGAAATAGACAAATTTGAAATAGAAATGACTGAGTTTGCTGTATTCAGTTTTGTTGCACTGTGCAGAACACAGAAAGGTGAGCTCAGAGGAGAGCAGACAGGCACTGGAGTTGCTTGAGTCCGTTCACGAGGGATACGTCTGGCAGTTCTAAGGGCTTGGATGGCCACTTGCTTCCTGTCACATGCAGGTGTGTGTGTTTTGGTGTGGTTTTGCTTAGCCGAGCCAAGCGGTCAGTCCAGATACACAGGTGTGATCCTAAAGGTTACACTACAGGGTAAAACGACAAACACGCCTCATACAGAATCCTGTAGAAGGGCACATAGGAATAATTACATGATACATACACAAAAGATCCATTCAGGAACAAGCTACAGTATGTAGTTAGTCCAGTTTACTAAAAGATTATTTGCTAGCGATGGCACTCTCCTTTCCTGTGGGGTGTGTGCGGTTTAAGTTGAGTCCCATACTGGGTTTCTCTTGGCTGGGGTTGGTTATGGTTGTTTTTGGAGGTGGTTGGGGGGCTCCGTTACTGGGCAGGGGTCCCCATATGCTCTGAGAGCCAGGGCTGGTTTTGGGTTTGGGGGTGGTAGGACTGGTCAGGCCGAGGCTGGTCAGAGCGTCAAGGGTTCCATCAGGGTCCACCATGACATTTATTACTGCAGGGATAGAGAAATACGTCAGAGACTGTGAACGTTTGTGTACTTTGTTCAATACGAGTTGATTGATGTAATAGTAAGAAGTTATTTAAATATAATACAAATAAAAAATAAATAATACAGCACTTCTTAGATTAAAGCAAGATCAATTTAGTTCTATTGTGCAGCTGTTGCACGTAATGTAGACATGTGAGAAGAAGCTAAGTGTAAGTCTTACCTTGAAGCTGTTTTTCTACCCTCTTCAGCTCTGTTAGTATAGATGAAATGTCCTAAATGGCACGAAGAATAATTAGAAAAACTACAGATCAACATCAATTACTGTAAGACATTCAGCATTAATGAACTTACCTTGTTTGTAGTTTTGGGAACCGGAACTTCATTGTCCAAACAGAGTTTACTCTCAAAATCATCCCACTTCCTGTCCTTGTCTTTGAACAATATCCTTTAAAATAGTGAATAAGAAACAACATTAAAAAATTTATTTTAAACACACACACACATACATACATAAATATATATATATATATATACACACATGTATATGTGTGTGTATCAAACCTTTTTTTAAGTAAAAACATTGAAAGTCGTGGGAAATCACATTATGAAACAGATGTTTTTCTCCAAAACATATTGGGAACAATTATTTATTAAATACTTTTTGAAACCTCCTTTTTCCAAGATAACTGCTCTGAGTTTTCTCTTATATTGCCTGATGAGTTTGGAGAACACCTGACAAGAGATCAGAGACCATTCCTCCATACCGAATCTCTCCAGATTCCCAGATCCATCTTTGCAGTGTATGGTTTCATCTGACCATAGAACCTGTCCCGTTTGAAGTTCCAGTAGTGTAAGTTACTTTTCAAACGTTCTATGGACAGATGAAACAAAACAAAAAAAGAGCTTTTTGGCAGCAAACACTTACTGTAGGGTTTGGTTCACACGGATAAAAAAGTACCCCATGTGTAAAATGAAATACTCCGCTGTATCTTTAATGTTGTGGGCCTAATTTTCTGCCAAAGGTCCTGGACATCTTGTTCAGATACATGGCATCATGGATTCGATCAAATACCAACAGATAAAAAAATCAGAACCTGACAACTGCTAGAAATCTTATAACGGGCCATGTTTGGATCTTCCAACAGGACAAAAATGTGTCACTGAGCACAAAACCAAGCATCGGCAATGGCCATCCCAGTCCCTGACCTGAACCCTATAGAAAATGTGTGCGCTGAACTAAAAGATAAGAAGCACCAACATGGATCTGGGAATCTGGTGAGATTCGGTATGAAGGAATGGTCTCTGATCTTTTGTCAGGTGTTCTCCAAACTCATCAGTCATTATAGGAGAAAACTCAGAGCTGTTATCTTGGGAAAAAGGAGGTTGCAAAACGTATTTAAGAAAAGGGGGCAAATAATTGTTCCCAATGTGTTTTGGAGAAAAACATTTCATAATGTGATTTCCCCCCCACTTTCAATTATTTTACTTCAATAAAAGGTTTGATTTTTGCATTAAAAAAAATAATATATCAAAAGGATAAACAATGCGGATTTATTTTTTTACAGCCATCTTTGATCATATTTACCTAGGGGGCAAATAATTCTGACCATCACTATATATACACACATACATATAGTTTGATCATGAACTATAAAGCATAGGCTAATAGAACTTTACATGCAAAATGCAGGCTATCACATCATTGTGGCACAAACTGATTGGCCTCTGCTGATGACTTTTCTCAACTTTTAAATAGTCATAACAAGTCTAAATATACATTAACGTTGCCATATTCAATAACATGCTAAAACTAATTAGAGAGTTGTCATGATTTTTCAAAAAAAAGAATACTTAATTTGGTATGGCAGGTTTAATGTAGGATTGCTAATTTTTCAGCAATTATACAACAACCCTTTATGTAATTTGGTTTGATGAGCAGCACTGTACACATTTCATTCCACGACTGACCTGATTTTCCCGGCAGTTTTATCTACAGACTGTCGGATTTTGGAAGACAGTTGGGAAACCGACGTCAGCAATAAACTGTCTAGCACCGCCTACAAAAGAACCAGCGGGACCTTGTCAATCAATAAGTTACCAAACAAACAACATCCAGTCAATAAAACACAGTGGTAATGCATCTTAATGACATCATATCAGTTTTCATATCACCAGGTTATACTGAACAAGATGTTCTCAAGTGGAGCTACAAACACAGACTTAGATATAAACAACACACCCAGAAGAGTGCTGAATCTTTCATCAAGCGTATTCAATCATATTCAAGATTAGGTATTATTTAAGTTAAGAGGTTCATTCATACCGGTCTCACCTCATCCCGGTTCCAGGTACGTCTGCGCAGGGCCGCCTGAGGATCCAGGCTGTCCGGGGCCCGGGGACGAAGCTCCACTGGTTTGCCATTGATCTCTGAGGCTTTGGTTTGAACTACAGGGGGAATCTTCCTGAAGTTTAGGCTCTCGTCAAAAACTCTCTCTACCAGCTGAAGACAAGGAGAAATAACGTCAAACTTATCAAGAACGAGCACCTTATAAACTGAACGAGCGAACCGAATAAACCGCAACTTTAATGAAAGGCAGTGAGTTGTACCTCCTCCCTGGTGTCGATGGCGGAGCCCGGTGTGGTGGCGGCCGTGCTGACGGTGGTGCTGGGTGCGGTGCCGGAGGAACTGACCGAGTCGATTTCGCCTGCCACGTCATGAATCTCCCGTGCCAGGATAGCCAGGTCCTTGGCGAGGTCCTGACTGATCCTGCGCACACAGGGAAATAACCTGTAAACTTTCAGATGGGTGTCTAGAAACTGGGGGTGCACAAACACAGACACATCATGCAAATGACACGGACAAACTCACATTAGGTAGTCCCTACTCAATTCATGCATATGCAATCGCATTCCAAATTAAAGTACTGTATGAATGACATGCAACATTTATAAAAATATAATTATTATTAACATGACATACTACCGTTCAAAAGTTTGGGGTCATTGCAATTTTTAAAAAGAAATTTATACTTTTGAGCAAGGATGCATTAAATTGATCAAAAGCGACAGTAGAGACATTTATCATGTTAATATTAATATTAATATTTGCTGTTCTAAACCTATGTTCTAAACATGTCAGAAAACTTTCTATCATCCATTCATCAGAGTTTCTATAAAAATATTAAGTAGCACAGCTGTTTTCAACATTAATAAGAAATGTTTCTTGAAGCAGAAAATCAGCATGTTAGAATGATTTCTGAAGGGTCATGTGACACTGAAGAGAGTAATGATGCTGAAAATCCAGCTTGGTTATTACAGGGTTAAATTACATATTATATATTTATTAAATTACAATTTTAAATTATAATAATATTTTACAATGTTACTGTTTTTACTGTTTTTTAGCTTAAATAAATGCAGCCTTGAACTATTAAAGGGATAGTTCACTTTGAAATTTTCAGTCCAACCGTTCTTGTCAGTCAGTTGGTCCACGTCAAAGAGCATGCACAGAGAAGTCAAAATTAAACATGATTTAATGACTCGTAAATGTAAGTACACATTGATGGCCTAAGACACGAAACGAGCGGTTTGTGTGAGAAAACAAACAGTATTTATATCGTTTTACCTCACGTAATCACATTCACATCCAAGTGATATGAATCAGTTGTGCAATGTCCAACTGAACCGAACTGAATCATGTTCAAAGTTCCGTGGGAAGTGATCTCTTGCGTGTGACGTCACTCAATATTTAAACGGAGATTTCGGAAGTTTTACTGAACATATTTAGATGTACCGAAATCGTCTTCCATTGCGATTTCCTGTATATCTAAATATGTTTAGTGAAAGTTAAAACTTCCAAAATGTCTGTATAAACAAAGAGTGACATACACGCGCAAGCGATCACTTTCGGCGCATGCGCAGACCGAAGTCAGATCAGTTTGACATCGTTGTGGTAGCACGAGGTAAAAAAAACTATATCCACAAGTTTCCGAGGGGCGCTCCAGTAAAAAATAAAGTGGGTGAAACTTCCGGTGACGCGGCGGAACTAGCATTCCAATGGTATTTTGTGTGTTAGTTAGCGAAGGTGCTAGCTGTTTTTCGGAGAATTATTTTACTATTTAAAGACGCAAATCTTTATGAGAGATGTCGTTACGGAGCTCAGGGACAATATGTGCTGTTCGCGGTAGTATGTATAACCGGACTAAACTAGTTCAGTGGCTTAAACGTGATTGTTTTGAACATAAGCTGAAAACGAGTGATCATGCCAGAGCCCGTCTCTGATCCTGCCAACGACTGTAACGTTAGTTTCCATCACCTCCCAAAAGACGACGAATCTTCCTGTGTACATTTTTTTTAATTCTTTATATTTTATAAACTCTATCAGCATGTGATTGGCTGTTCGCTACTGATGTTACACCTAAACTCAGGATCAAAGCCTGTGTTGACAGAATACCAAATGTGCCAGTAATGTATTTAAGCAGCACATTCATTTTTAATTTTGAATAAACTCCAAAGCACAATGACTAGTGTGTATTTTTTTATTTTAATTGTTTGTCAGCTCGCACATCTGTCTGTCATGATGCCTTGATGAGTATTGATAATTAATAATGTTATTATAATACTCCCAATCAACGACTGCGGAGGGTAAAGGTAGTGTTATTTCACCCTTTTTAATTTCGTTGAGGTTGTGTTCCCACATCGTTAGCTAGTTTGGATCGCTATAACTTGAATGACTGTCAACTGTTGAATGAACGAGTGTTAAGCATGTCAAGTCGCGCTTTGTTTACTTCCAACCGGAAGTCGCGCCCACTTTTGACGCAAGGCCTCATGGGGCGTAGGAAACTTGTGGATAAATACTGTTCGTTTTCTCACACAAACCAGAAACCGCTCGTTTCGTCTTAGGCCATATATGTGTACTTACATTTACGAGTCATTCAATCATGTTTAATTTTGACTTCTCTGTGCCTGCTCTTTGAGGTGAACCCACGGTGGACCCACCCCAAACCTCCATTATATGACTGATATAGACAACAACGGTTTGATTGAAAAATATCAAAATTGAAAATACTGTGGAAACAAAGACACCTACATCTTGGATGCCCTCGAGGTAAGCTAAAACATCAAAAATTAATTTCAATGTGAACTATCCCTTTTTATAAAAAAACATTTAAAAAATCGTACCGACCCGAAACTTTTGAATGGTAGTGTATACAATATAACATGCTAATCACATCAAGGACAGCTCAATACGTGTGACTCACACATTTGTTGCGTATACGTTTTGATAATTCTTATGGTGTTCTAATGTTGAAAGAGGTTTTAGAATAACCATAAGGTGGCAGTATTGCTACATGAACAGATCACACATATGACTGATGAGGCATATACAAAAATGTAAAATTCACACAGTATCTCTTTCCTCACTAACAACACATAGAAACTCATTTTACACATAGAACAGTATGAATAGTGCTTTTGAAAAAATATTTAAGACCCCAGTCATATTAGTAGCCTAATAAAAGCTGTTTAACATTAAGTGGGACACCTCATGCTAAGATTATATGATCAGCTGAATTATACTAGCTTTATTTTTCTAACTCAAATTAACCATGACTGACAGCACACAGTGCAATTCTACAAAGGCATTGGTAATTGAAAACTTTTGGAGTTTGAGAGAGAGAGCGATAGAGCATGTGATCAGGTTATATTAGTGTGTGCCCTGCGGCAGTGCATTTGAAGACAGTCTCTCTTGTTGCAGTTCCAGCTGTGACTAATGCTATATGTGGATATCTCCTGAGATAACAGACTATGTGCCTGCACGTAACACAACAGTGACTGCCCACAATTTTTTAGTGGCCTTGGTTCTCAGTGCATATTACCCATTAATTTTACACACAGATTTGAAAAGATTTTTCAGTAAATAAATGTTAAACCTTGAACCAAACAAATAATAATGATGTTGTGTAGTCTATAATAGATACAGTTTTACTCAGTGAGAGATTTATTCAAGAGGGAATAATTATCTAATAAAATTATTGGAGGCTTACACACATTACATACAGTTAGTTTGAAGTGTGCATTGATTTGAATGGTGACAGCATTATAAGAGTGGCTTGATGCAGTACATAACATGTAGAAAACTTAAAAAACAATTATGCAACGAAAAAAATGCTGTGCTATTCCAAATATGTTATTTACCCTTTACGAAGCTTTATCTGCTAAAATGAATTGCTCATTAGAATAGGCTACTCTTGACAAAGCCTGTAGAAATACTAGAAATCTTGAAAAATAGAAATATGTGGGAATCGTGTAAACAACATTTAGACATTTCATTTATCTATTTTTGTCATTTCCTATCTTGTTATGTCATTTCCTTTTTTTTAAAATTATATTATGCTATTGCATTGCTGTCTTGACTGCAGACAAGAGAAGGTTTGAAGAAATCGTGATTAATAGGATCAATTATCACAATTAGAGGATCTGCATCAGTCAAATTATCTCAGATGTAATAAATAAGCGAGGTGTGAAGAACAGACACCTGGACCCAGTGCTTCATTTGTAAACCAATAATTGCCGCTGTGACCAACACTGACCATACAACTTCAGTTTTCCCAGAACATACAATGACCTCACTAGACGGTGATGGCACAACTATAAGAGCACGGCCCTGACTACATATAGCAACATTGAGACCAAGTACTATTTAGTTGATCAGTGACATTCTCTCTAACCTCTGGCATAAACTCTTGTTGCTTGTGTCTCCCACTATCCTGATTTACAATTTAGAATAAATGGTATGCGTATTTGGCGTGCTGTCCGAGGAGAGGGCCCTGGGCTCGGTATTTGGCCCGGACCCAGAGCACTCCCCCCGTATTCCTGATAGTGGTAGAATAAGCCAAGAGTGAGGAGTCGGGGTGGTGGAGGGACGTTGAAAACTGTCGAGGAATGTAGGTTAGTCGACTGAGTGTATATATAGGCTTCCTCTCATGCTGATAGGATAGAAGTGGTAATTGTTGATGACGAATTGATTAGATTTATTAGGTGAACGTGCTCCTCCCGAATTTTGTTTAATGAAACATCATTTCGAATTAGCAGTTCCACCTTCGGATATTAAAGGAGTATTTAACTTTTTAAAAAACGTTTGCTGATAATTTACTCACCCCCATGTCATCCAAGATGTCCATGTCTTTCTTTCTTTAGTCGAAAAGAAATTAAGGTTTTTGATTAAAGCATTCCAGGATTTTTCTCCATATAATGGACTTCAATGGGAACCAAACGGTTCAAGGTCCAAAAGACAGTTTCAGTGCAAACTGTTCAAAGGGCTTTAAACGATTTCTGATGATGAACAAGGGTCTTATCAAGCGAAACGATCGCTCATTTAAAAAAAACAAAAACAAAGTTGAAGTTTCATAAGCTCAAATGGTCGCCTTGCTCTGTTCTGTGATGCGCGTTCGAACTTGTTTATCAAAATGAATTAATCTTTTTTCGTGTCATTTGGTTCATTCAACTAACAAAATGAACGAGTTGACTCTGGAAAAGATTAGTTAATTTTGATGAACGAGTTCGAACAGGAGAGTCACGATCGCGCATCATAGAACAGAGCAAGGCGACCATTTGAGCTTATAAAACTTAAACTTTGTTATTTTTTTTAAAATGAGTGATCGTTTCGCTTGATAAGACCCTTATTTATCATCAGAAATTGTTTAAAGCCCTTTGAACAGTTTTCATTGAAACTGTCTTTTTTGGACCTTGAACTGTTTGGTTCTCATTGAAGTCCATTATATGGAGAAAAATCCTGGAATGTTTTCATCAAAAACCTTCATTTCTTTTCAACTGAAGAAAGAATGACATCTTGGATGACATGGGGGTGAGTAAATTATCAGCAAAAGTTTTTTTTAAAAGTGAATTACTCCTTTAACTTATTATTCCTAAGGATTGGATCGAGAACTATCACCATATAATGCACTTGTAATGCTGGAGATGACTACATCACATGATTTTTCTGTCAAGTAACCGTGGGGCATTTAAGAAAAACACTTTTTTTAGACAAAAAGTTAATTTGTTTGAATAAGGACAGAGAGTTGATAAGTACCTGGCAATCTCCTCGCTGTGAGCCGTCCAGTCTCGTATGTACTCCTCCTGTTCTTTCATCCTGTTCTTGAGGAGGAGACCCCCGGGGCTGGTCGTGACCGGAGCGGGAACACCCAGCCTGCTGGTGCGGAGGGTGGTGCCCGGCCGCAGGCGAACGTGTTTGGGGGAGTTCCGGTTGGAGCCAAACTCATCCTCGGAGGTAGAGGCATATTCAGGAGGCAGCCGTCTCCACCGGTTATTGGCTGAAAGGAGAGAGAGGTAAGAAATACAATTAATAGAGAGCAATAAAGTACTATATGAATTGGAGGTTGGTTAGAGGTGTGCACATTTCAAAAAGCCCTCAAAAACATTTAAGAGCAGTTAATGTATCAGTATTTTTGTCAGTATTACAAACACAGTCTCCAGACGTCTTGCATCACTATTACATGATGCAATGATCTTCTTCCCCACTGGCTCAAGGTTTATTAACATGGCAACTAAAACATTCCGTTATATTTATATTCAATTATCATTGTACAACAATCTTGTTGTTTCAATGCAAAGTTTGTATTTGTACTTTATTATGCATTGTAATGATTTCCATTAAAACCTTGTTTCAAATGGGGATGGAGCAATATTTAACGCAATTAAAACAAACCACTAATCACAAAAGAAGCTTAATAAAACAGTTGCCCCAGCAAATATCAAACTTGTTAAAAGCGAACAGAAAAGCTCTTCTGACCAACTATCTCTATATGACACTAGCAAGTGATGAAAAAGACATTTGAGTCGATTTTTTAGTGGTTAAAGATCTGGACTGGTATTTCAAGTGTCCTTCATGAACTCACTTGCATCTGCAATGAATGTTTTCTTTGAGCCTGTGAAGCTGTTTGCTATGATGTTGTTTTACTTTGTGCCACCAGGGGGAATGCGTTTAACATCCGCTGACCCTCATTTCTTATTGCTCAGTGCTTGCGTCAGCATTAGAGAAAACTTTCCTCTGATTTTGACTGTGTGGCAGTAAATGACAAATATCTAAGAAGTCAACATTTCAATATTAACATAATTCATTAATTTCTCAAAGCTTCCTCAGAGCACAGAATCTACAAATATAGATTCTCTCAAGAACTTCAATATTAGATCTAAATGCATGTTTATTTCAAGGGAAAGCAAATGAGCTGAGCTCCTTTTCATCACTGCTGTTTGATAAAAAGCATAAATAAATAAAAATGAGATGACACATTGACTGGAATGGCATTTAAAAGCATGCTGAGATTCAGTTTCTACTGTTTTCATTGTATGAAAACCCAACACACACACACACACACAGCCCAGAGATGGTACAGTACCCATGGGCTCCTCCTCTGCGAGAACACTTTCAGGCTCAAGTTGAGTTTCTGTGTAAAATGGGATCTTTATAAATATCACAAGCATGCAGAGACAGACAATTACAGACACACATTACTAATGAGACCGATCCAACGCACATAAAACATCACAAAACTGCACTGCTAAATTCTGCTGAATGCTAAACATCTCATTTTAAGAAACTGCAGTTTTTAATGGGCTTTGGAACTTCATACAACCGTCATTTGAATGATTTTATGGATGAAATGGAAATTTACCCGTGTCTATTTACAAAATGTATGCTATTAAACTTATCTCCGCCCCTTTCTTACAATATATAGCTCAAACTCGCATTCAGATCCGCATCCAACTTTTATTTTTCATCTGTGTCTGTTGTGTATTGGAATTTGCTATTTTAAATCCACCTGTAGTCAATAATTGTATTCCTTAAAACTCATATTTGATATTTGAATTACATATTAAAGCGTTTTTTTTTCCTGTTATTTTTTTCACGCCTTAAAATAGCTTGAATGTAACTCTACTCCCTTGCCTCATTTAGGATGCGCGGTTCTATTAATATGCAAATTAGCCCCGCCTCCACTCACATTAGAAAATACTCAACAATGGTGCCGACTTATGAATTTGGACATAGTCTGTCTTAAAATATATTAAAAACACCACATAGACATATAAACAACATTAAAATCTAGATTTTCACCACAGGGGGACTTTAAATTTAGAAATATTTTTCAAACTTTACACTTATATTTATCATTAAGGTTATGGTCTTTGGTGTAAAGGGGCTATTACTGTGTTTTAGGAACTATTTTTAATTTGATGAAATAAAAATCACGCAGCATGCTATTAACATGCTAATTAAAGCCCTGTTGCTAAAAACAAACAAATACAAAAATCTGGATCTTTAATCTCGTCAACCTCACTAACGGAGTAGTCAGCTGTCGGACTTCCATCTCTACTGCATACTTATCTGAAAATCAAAGATATGGCATCCAAACAAATACCTTACTTTAACTGGCTTCTGCTAACAGCAAAAACTAACAATTAGCAAAGGTTTGTAGCATTTCCAATCATGCAGAGCTACTGTACACGAGTCATACTACTATTACATTCCATCTCACCTGATGGGGTGCTGTTGACAGGTGCTGTCTTCGGCTTGGGGTCCGTTAGCTTGGAGACACTATTAGCCCTCATGCGTGCAGTTAGCTTGCTGTCTGCTGGTTGTTGATTTGTGCTTCTCAGCCCCAGACGAAGCGCCGTCTCTGCCGACACACGTGATGCTGCGGTCCGACCGATCGTGGCCTCCGAATCGCTCCGTGCTGAAAACGAGCCGAGTCTGGTGCGTCGAGGCTGCGCTAGCATGTCAATGCGTGACTGTGTCTTTCTTCCCGATGGTGGTTTAGAAGTGGAACTAGTGGTGGACACCTCAGATGCCACTGAAACCCTGTCTGCATCCGCCAGATCTGTGTCCGACGTGTCGCCAAGGCGAGCCCTGCGCAACAGAGATGCCCGCGTGGGACGGGGCTGCGGAAGACCAGCCTGTTTCACAAGGGCCGCGGTGCTAGCTTGCACGGTCTTGCTGGGCTTTGCGGACCTTGCGGATTTGCTGGTATCAAGCTTGGACTGCAAGAGGTCATCAGTGGAGGTGAAGTAACCTTTGGTGAGTGAGCGGCCGGAATACATCTCCTGGTCCGAGGAAAGGATGTCTGAGATGGCTAGCGAGGACGTCTGGTCGTCATCCGTGAGATCTTGGGATGGTTGGCGGCCACGGGAGGCTGTCTGTGCCGAGCGGCGAGAATCTGAACGGCTTTCTGTGGTCTTGGTCTTGGTCTTCCTCTCTAGACGCTCTCTCGCGCTGGTCGTGGTTTTTGACGTGGTGCTCGCATTGCTCTTCTCTCTATAAAGGCTACTGAGGGATCGTCGCTTCTGAACCGCCTTACGATCGGCCTCGGCTGCCGCCTGGCTAACCGTGCTGGCCGTGTCGATGTCAGACTCTGGGGATAAAGGGCCGGTTGCGGGGTCCAACTTCTTCTCATCTCGGAGTTTAGCCTCAAGGAATGCCATGACAGCTTCAGTGTCTTTGAGAAGAGTTGCCGTGTCCATGCTGCCCACCGAGTCGCTTCGCTCCCTCCCGCCGTTCTGTCGGTTGATGTGTGGAATCAGTTCTATGGGGACATTACCGCTGGGCTTCTCAATGGTAAAACTCCCCTGTCTCACCAGCGCTTTCCCAGACCTCTCGCTGTCACTTCCTTTACTCTTGTCCTCAGAACGTCTCCTGCGACTCTCCTCAGGCGTTCTCCTCTCGCCACTTCCCAGGGGGCGCGCAGACGACTGTTTTCCAGCCTTCCCGTCCTGCTGGATGCTCTTGGACTGGCTAGACTCAGTGTTCTTGTTGTCCGGAGATTTGAGGCACTCGCCATCACCTTTATGGTCACTGTGGCTTTCTTTTTCCTGGGGTTCTGTGTCCTGCTTCTCACCGATCTCAGAACGCTTGATCTTCTCCTCAGTTGGAAGCTGCGGAAGAGTCCTTCTTTTGCGCTCAGCTTGGCTGGAAGTGGTGGAACTGGTGCTCTTGATAGAGATGCCAGCCTCAAAAGCATCACCATCTGAAGTGGGTAAAAGATAATACATATTATAGCACTTCAAACATATCCACTACTGTTCAAAAGTTAAGGGTCTGTAAGACTTTTATTCAGCAAAGATGCATTAAATTGATCAAAAGTGACAGTAAATACATGTAAAATGTAATGTTAGACATTATTTTTACCTAAAAAAAATCCTGTAAGTTTTTATTAATTTATCAATTAAAACTGAAAAAAATGTATCATGGTTTCCCTAAAAAATATATTAAGGAGCACAACTCTTTTTAACACAGATAACAAAAATGTTTTTGAGCAAATCAGCTTATTAGAATGATTTCTAAATGATCACGTGACACTTAAGAAAATTCAGGAATAAATGAACTTTTTTATAAATACAAAAAAGAAAGAAACAGGGAGCGGAGATGGGTAGATTTAGGAGTGGGGTTAGGGATCAGGGGGCAAGACAATTAATTTTAAATTGTATAATAATAATCCACAATATTACTGTATTTACAGTCTTATTGATCAAATAAATGCAACCTTGGTGTAGATGAGACTAAAACATTACAAAAATTCTTATTGACCCTAAACATTTAAACAGTAGTGAATATACACATTATAGAACATGTATGGGATAATCCATGGCTAGGTGTGATATTATAGATTTTTAAATTTAGCAGTATATTTTGATATTGGATATATACAATAACAATTCAGTAAATTACCTCGTTCTTGGTGGACAAAAGGTGGCGGTTCGGCTCCAGAGCCCTCTGGGTCTGTTCGGGTTTGATTAGCAGCTAAACCGGCCCACTGTGAAACCCAGTGAGGGCTGCCGACTGCAACTGAATCCTCCACCAATCTCTATAAATGAAGTAAAGATGTTTCTCTAGTCAGTATTAATCACTTGAATTACCCCTGCCATGGATGTCTGTGGTACAGTCTTGCATAGAGCTGATGACATGGGCTGCGTGTGGAATCACATTACATTTACAATTTCCAAACAAACTATACTAATTTGATTATGCTAGTCTGAGTAAGCACCACTATAAATAGTTATACAACAATAATCTGAAAACTCAAGTCTCTGCTCACATTAGAGTGAATACTGGTTGTAAACATGGCATGGATCCACAACAAGGATTCAAAACAAGGACTCTTTTGTAGCCTTACTCTTGTGTGTGTGCGTGCACACATTCGTGTGACTGAACGTTGCCTAAAGACAGCAGACTACTACTTCTCATTCCTGAACTGGGTCAGTGAGCAAGTGTCCAGTTTTCTGCTTAACAAGGAAGTGGTCAGTGGAGGGAGTGACTGACAAAGAACTGTGTCAGTATTCCTGAAAGCCAGTCCAAGTAACATCAAACTGTATCATTCAAACTCAAATGTGAAATGCAGTTTCAACTGGTGTAGTTGTTGTCCAAAACAAACATTGACATCAGAAACAACCTGGTTTCTGTTACATGTGCTGTTTGACATCAGCACAAACATCATGCTCCAAATGACCATTGTTTCCTGTCAACTTTCTGTAAATTACATAAACGCATACTTTGTCATACAGAATAGCTCATGCGTTAACCTAAAATTTAACAAATGACAACTTAACTTGGGACGTTCACTATTATGTTCACTTCAGCCTTTACCTCAGACACAGTGGAACTGAGTTTCTTGCCTTCCTTCACTTTTCCACCTGCCTCCCGTTGCTCAGGACAACCAGGATCCTGAGAGTTCTCCACCCCAAACACCTACACATGACAAACACAAAAACACATGTAGGACAATCAGCGAGCTGTGACACCATGGCAGCACCTATGTGATGAAAAGGAGTCAAATAAACACTCCATAGCAACAGAGAAAGAACAACATCTCAGGAAGGAACGAACAGGAAGTATGTCAGTTCAATAGAGACACCTTTACAACACAGTCGACTTGCGTCATCTTTATTGACAGTCACTCCGTTTAAAACTAAGATCTCGGTCTATCCATCCGACTATTTACTTGGATGATATATTGAATGTTCACCACATATTAAATTATTCTGATGCCACTATAAATTTAAGTAATATTGGTAGGAATTTAATATGCTTTTAATTTGGTTGAATCTTCATTTGAACATTTCCTAAAGACTTACACTACCAAAGTTTGGGGTCAGTAAGATATATTTTTTTATTATTCAGCAAAGGACAAAAGTCACAGTAATTACATTTATAACGTTACAAAATATTTCTATTTTAAATGAATGCTGTTCTTTTGAACTTCCTACGGATCAAAGAATCCTGAAAATTAAAATCACTCAAAAATATTAAGCAGCACAACTGTTTTCATCATTATCATCTTCAGCATCAAATTGCCTGTTAGAATGATTTGTGAAGGATCATGTTACTCTGAAGACTGGAGTAATGAAGCTGAAATGAACTACATTTTAAAACATACTAAAAGTTATTTTAAATTGTAATAATAGTTCACAATATTACTATATTTACTGTATTATTTGATCAAATAAAGGAGTATTTGTGAGTATATGAGACTTCTTTCAAAAAATTTACAGAATCTTAACGACCACACATTTTTGAACGATGTGACAAGATGTATATTGAAAATCATCAGGAGGCTTAAAAATTGTGCACCCATCATTTATAGCTGAAAACCACAAACTGCGCAATATTCATATATTTTTCATGGTATTTTATAATTAAATACATGAACATTCATAAACAATCCATAAGTAATAGCACCCAGACATGCATTAAAAGGCAAGGCTTTAAAACTCCCTGAAGTTAAAGTGAATAATGGAGGAGTTGATTGGTTGGCCACATGAGAGCCATTACAAAGCCATTAAACAGAGCTTCACAGCAAGATGCACTCAAACTGCTTGATGTTCAGAGATTTCCAGGATAAACACAACCTTCACAATGCACTCAGAAAAGCATGTTGGAAATCTTTACAGCTCTTCGATTGAAATTCCGATATTTCTGACCTTTAACCCTGAGTATTAAACTTCTGCATTCAATACAGCAATCCATTTTTTTGTAATTTCCTCTATTTCTCACAAAGGGAAGTGACTGTTGTCAACATGAGTCTTGAGGTTTAATGACAGGGAAACTCCAACCTTCTATGGAAGAATATTAAGTGTTATAAGTGACCTCAGTATGATCATATGTCAGACAGTTTTTAGGGTTAGGGTTAAAAATTATGTTGTCATACCTTATCTATCATTCGCCTTGCTTCCTCTTCCTCAGGGTTGCTTTTATCCAGTTCAATGGTGTACGTGCCCTTGTCACTCTGATCGTCGTCTTGTTTCTGAGCCTCGTCTGTGGGACTGGGTTGACCAATAGGGTTAGGGTTCTGCGCCACCTTGGGCTCCTCCGACCTCTGCTTGAGCAGGAGCCGAGCAGCCGTGGGGGCGACCGCCGCCAGGGTCGATGACATGCCCTTGCTGCCCTCCGCTGCTGTGGCGACGACCTTAGGACGTGAGGGTGGTGTAGGGCAAAGCCCCTCCCCTGCCACTCCTCCGAGCAGCGGTGCGGTCTGCGAAAACGAGTAGGAGCGCCTTTTGCGAGGGTTATCCTCGTCGTAGAACTCAATCATGAAGGCTGTGCGGCTCACAGAAGACGACCCCTCTGTTCTGACCTGACCAACTCCTGCAGCTCTCAGACGCTCCTCCAGCGCGGCGTGGCGTTTGCTGCCAAATCGCAATCCCAGGCCGTTCTCGGAATCGCTCTGCGTGCCATCCTCGTGTTTACTGCCTGTAACAGAAGATCGTTTGGAGGGGTTACGGCAAATCCGGACACAGAACAGGGCAGTGCTTTCAACCAAGCGCACGACTTCAGACTTAAACCTAACTAGAGCTAACACAAACCCCCCCATACGCTTCACCCTGAGGCTGTGATGGGCATTAGAGCTGGACTGCACGTCTCTGGACGCTAAGCCCTACTCTCAGCCAGAGCACAGGGAAGAAAAGGCGAGGAAATAAGAGGTGGAGGAGGGGGTCGTCTATTCTTCAGCTTCGTCGGCTGAGGAAGCAGCATGCAGTCAGAAGTGACAGCCTCTGCTCTGAGAGACTGGGAGAAACAACGACACCACTCCGACAGTGGTCTTTCACGCACAAAGCGTTAAACAAAGCAGCTCTTCTGTGTTGCACAGCATGTTCTTTGAACGAGGAGAGCTGGCCCCACCAGCCCTCTATGAGTCAGACTGCATTTACTCCAACTAGTCCGATAACACCAAAACAAACGTGCATTAAATTACTCAAACACAGGAATTCATCTGTATTATTGTTTTACTGCCTCACGTTCAAGCTCTGTACACTACCGTTATATATATAAATAAAATATATTCAGAAAGAAAAGAGTTATTTTAAATTGTAATATTTCACAATATTACTGTTATTGTTCAAATAAATGCAGCCTTTGTGAACATAGGAGACATCTTTAAAAACAAATCTTACATACTACAAATTCAAACAGTAAAGTATCTACTTCATCATCTGAGATTCAACTTTATTATTAACAAACTATTATAAAAACAACACAAAACAATACTACCGAAAACTAAATAGACTTATGGATTTAAAAAAAAAAAAAAGACCTCTCAAGCCTGACTTCAGACTGTGTCTGTTCTGCCCAATAAGACAGAAAGGGGAATCTGATTAATATGTAAATCAACCAACCCACCACAGTTTGCTTTTTAAGGGTAGGTAAATCTGAAATCAAGGACACCACAATAATATAATAGAGTTCAGCAAAGAGTTGCAACAAATAATGTGCAGCTTAAAGTTACAAAGAAATCTAAGACAATTAGTTCTCCAAATGTCCTCAAACAATAAATAACATACACACTTAACTTAAATAAAATGAATAACCGAGTATGGTGCAATGGAAAACTACACTGAAAACAATTTTTAAAATGAAAACCGTTTCAGCACCATTAAAACTAACTAAAAATAAACTGAAATTGAAAAACATCAACTCTGCTGAGATCATGAGTTTGAATATTTGTCATATTTTATATTAATGTTTTCCAAATTCCATTACATTATTGTCCCACCTCAAACAAGAAACAAATTCCTCAAATGATCAAAACAAAATTCGAACTCAGCGGTGGACAATCGAAAGAACAATTGAACTCACCAGTCCTCAGATCGCACCCAACAAAACAAACAGCATCAATGCAGCTTCCAAAAGACAACCGCAAACACAAGCACTAACAGAACCACGCCTGAGACTGGATAGACCGCATTGTCCACCAGCCTTCACCAATAATGAGTCCTGCTTAGAGCTCACATGTGGATTCATACGCTCTCAAATTGGCTGCAAAGCACACGCTTCTCATAAATTACCACCCATTTCATTACAGAATCAAGCAATGGCGAGCTGAGCGTGCTTTCCTGTCCCAAAGTGACATGCTGAAGCTTTCACAAAGAAAAGTCATACCGAAAGGAAGCATCCCATAGAAGGAGATGATGATTTTGTTTTTTTGAAATAATGTCTTGTATAAATGTAGATCACAAAGCCTAGCTAAATCACGAAACAGACTAATCAATAGAACGTAAAACGACGCAGTTCTGCAACGGCTATAGAGAAATAGCTCCCTAAGGAGAGTTTAAGGAGAAACTCGAGCTTTAACCGCAATCTTTGCTAAGCTCTGTCAGTGGGTGCAAAGAAAAAAAGGGGTTTTAAAAGTGCTAGGTGGCAGATAATCCCCTGGAATGGGAAATGCAGCTGACGCTACACGAGTTCAGTACAATCTGCTGATGTCATCATTAACTGCATCCCTTTAACAGCCTTGAGAAATTCTGAAAAATGTAGAAAGTCTACAGTACAGCAGCTAATGAAAAGGAGTGGAAGGCCATACAATTAATTTCAGAGACTTAATTGTATTAAATGTCCAAAAAAACAAATTCACTGCATGACTCCACATCACAGCTCATATACATTTTTGAAACAGAGTGAAGAAAATAGGCATTGTCTTAGGAAGCTTCAAGATGACAGAAAAGTCAAAGCAATTTTTTCCCCTTCAGGGCTCCCAAAATAGGCACTATGTATGTACTTCCTCTGTCATATACTCATCTCTTCTGAGCTGAGTACATTCATTATGAACTGACTATTAAAATCTCCCTTATGGCTTTGAGACTTTAAATTCATGAGGAAATGTCCTACCCACCCGCATATGTTATATTTTCTGTGGAACACAAAAGTAAACATTTTGGAAGATCTTCTTTCGCAGCTCTTGACAGTTTATAATGACCCAGGGATTTCGAGCTAAAAAAAAGAACAATGAAAGCAGTTCTTAACCCTTTTACTCTATATTTCAAAGTAAACAAACAACTTATTATTCACAGATAATGGCTTGTGTCTAGAAAAAAATGGTGTCATGGAGGCCAAAACACATTCTTTCGTTCTAGACATAAATGTGGGCTGGAATTTAATTTATGTTTTAAATTTTGGACTGGTCATCACATAAAGCAATCCGAAAACTTCAGAAGACTAATTGCATATTTAAATAGTGATTATTTATGTATTCTTGCTCCTTCATTTTGGTCCCTGGTCACTATAAACAGCTTCATAATGTTTCATTACACAGTTACATTTGCTTTCACAGAAAAAATATTGATTTTAAATGACAGAAGAGCAAGAAAATATTTACAGAATTTTCATTTTTATGCACACTGTTCCATTAAAGCACTAACTAACTTTTCTATTCTAAAGATGAACTACTCTTTTTATTTTGCTATGGCAGCACTACATGTATTTTTTTCTCCCTTGGATTTATTGCTTCTGCTTGTATTATTCACATTTAAAGTGCTCATATTTTGCCTTTTCGAATATTACCTTTCATGCAGCGTGTAATATAGTTGTTTGTGAATGTAAAAGGTTTAAATAACAAAGTGCATGCATGACAAATAAGAAACATTGTCAAAAAGAAACAATCGATTCTGAACTGCTGAAACAAGTTGTCAGCAATAGAGTGGTGCAGGTATGACATCACTTTGAAGGCCAACACGCAGTTAGCATCACACATAGGCTTTTGGCTTATTGTTAAAAACAAGCTCTGTGATCAACAAAAGTTTATGATACTTGCACATTTTGTCCACGAATGAACCAAACTTTCATGAATTTTAAAGCCTAAATAGATCGCAAGAAGTAAAAAGCTAAAAGAAAAACGGACTACACCACGGTCCCACAAACTCAATAGCACCACCACTACTTTCCAAGTCTTTCCGTTTTTATCTAAAAACAATTTCCCAGAATGTTTGAGTTAGAATAGTTTATAAGAGCACAATTATAAGCACAAAAAGGCTGTAAAAGCGAGTTGCCTGTTCGTGTAATGACGTTTAATCTCCTCAAAAGCCTCTGTAGTCCCAATTAGCCACTTGTTAGCAACCACCTTTTTCAAGACACGCAGTAGCTTAAAAAATTCATGAGTGGGGTAATACTGATGTATTTCCTGTTACACACCTATAACAATGTAAAAAAAAATGCACAATGCCAGCCTATGGTCTTTATTGGCTGACCGCAAACAACGTCAACATTGACCCACCCTAAAACACTGTAGTTGTAGCTGAGGCCTGGAAGAGTTTGGTTTGTGAGGTCGACATGTCGAGAAGACATCACTGTATCAAGCTCTGAGGAAGCCTCCAGAGCTGAAATTCAGATATGGTAATAGGTGTTACATTTCCGACACAGACCAATCACAACAAACTGAGCCATTTGACCAATCAGAGCAGAGTAGGCTCACAGAAAGGAGGGGATTAGAGAGACTGAATCTTTGAACAAAACGTTTTCAGGTTGAGAAATGAGGTGATGGGCAATGTATATAATGAGAAAATGAAAGTGTTGTTGACCTTTGATGCATGTAAACCTATTGTAGGAGACCTCTCAAACAAAATGAGGAACCTTTAATATAGCATAACAGTGCTTTGATAACGCATCTGCTAAATGAATAAATATATGTGTAATGGCGTACCTTTAAGCCTCTTGAGGTGAACAGGCACATCACTCTTGATGCTCTTACTGTCCTCTTCTGTGGACTCTCGCCTCACTAGAGGAGGGTCATTCTGGGCAAGCCAGTCAGCCACCTTGCTCTCAGAGGCCATGATGGCTGCCTGTAGGGTGCTGAGGTCTTTACCTCCAACGTGAGGGGACTTTTTAGGTCGTAGACGAGACACATGATCTTTAATGGTGACCTTCCCTGGGGAAGTATCATCAAACTCAATGGTGAATGAGGTGTTGGCCTGTGCGGAGGCGTTGCCAGTGGCTGATTTTGCAGCCCCAGCGCCCTCAGTGTCCTTTGTTGGGATCTCATGGATGCTGTTCTGTGCCATTTGTCCCTCCTTGTTGGGAATTTCAAAGTAGCTGGGCTCAGCGCCTACAGGCCCCAGACCATTTTCCTTTGATTTATCACCCCGCTTGGTCTCTTTGCTCTCTGTGGGGCCACAGAAAAAAAGAGAAGAAAAATAAGCATCATCTATGAGTTAAGGGTCACAGCCTCAAAGCAAACAAAATCTGATCAGCTAGCTATAAATGTCAAGACTGTGGACTTTAATCACTGACTGGACAAAGCCACTGTTTAATGTCTGTCACATGACAAGAATTAATGGGACGGCTAATGGCACTATAACAACATAATTGGCTGAGGACAGATGCTCTGACACCCTAGACATGGTGCTAAATTCTGGAAATGACAAACAGTCTGACAAATGCTACACCATATTACCAATTTTCATTCTATTAGCTGGCTTGAGATAAAAAAAAATGACACTGTGTCTGATATATAGATCAGAGGTTCGCAAGAGATGGAGATTTCTACGAACAGCTTCTTATTTATTATTTTTTAAATTGTTTTTATTTTTTATTTTTGAGCTATACTTTGGTCATATATATATATATATATATATATATACATACATACAGTATTAAATATTAAGCTTGTGGTTAAAATATTAAAAATGTAAAAAATATTAAAATATTAACTGTTTAAAACCATTCAAAAGTTTGATGTTTGTAAGATTTCTTTTGTAGTGTCTTTTGTACTTGTACAATAGTACATATGAAAGCACCATATAAATGCCTCATTCATTCATTCATTCATTCATTTTCAAAAAGAAGTCTCTTATGCTCAGCAAGGCTGCATTTATTTGATAAAAAATACAATAAAACAGTAATATTGTGAAATATTATTACAATTTAAAATAACTGTTTTCTATTTTAATATATTTTAAATTTTCAGCAGCCATTGCATTCCTAATATGCTGATTCACAGCTAAAGAAACATTTCTTATTATTATCAATGTTGAAGACTGTTTAATATTAATAATGCTTAATAATTTTTATAAAGATTCTTCGATGAATAGGAGGAAGTTCAAAAGAACAGCATTTAAAATTTTGAATGCATCTTTGCTTAATTAAAGTATTAATTTCTGTCTGAACGCCCTACTGTCAGCATGTATTTATTTGTGCAAAGCAGGATTTAGAGCTTTTGCCTACATTAAGACCAAACAAACAATCCAAGATGGGATTTCAACATTTTCATAAGGGTCATTCACACAGGATGAGTTTTTGTGTTCAAAACTAACTAGGTGGAACACAACCGAATGGACCAAAACAACTTTTCAGGGCTGAACTACTTTTAACTTGACATGGCATTTGGAAAAAAAAGTTAATAATGGAATTTACTAAATAGTATGTTAATCCTGTGATGTAGGAGAGAGAGAGTGTGTGTAAGATTGTTGGAACCTAAAAGATAAGTCGAGGCGCAAAAGGTTTTGGAACCACTGGTTTAGATTCTCCCTTTAAACTGATTATGAGGTGTGATTTCACAGTTCAATTTAAAGAAATATTAGAACTTTAGAAAATGTACAGGCACGGAAACACATCTGAATCAGTTCCACTTAAATATCCATAATTACACCCCTAAATGTATGTCTAGTTACTCCTCTGACCAATCAGAGTGCAGCTGAAACTTCCTATTTATAAAAATAATCTTCACTTCCTCTTCTAAACCAAAGCAAAAATGCTTTTTATCCTCCCTTTAGCATAACTAAATCTCTGATAAACTAGAAAATACAACTATCCAGTCAAATGAAAAGCACTAACCATTATTAAAATTCAACTTTACTTAACTACTGTGAATCTGCTTAGTATAACCAAAGAAACCAAAAGAAAATTCCAATGAAGCACAAGGTCTTATACATGTTTTCTAGCAAGTTAACATTCAATGAACTATATGCTTGATAAAGAACAACTCAACAACTCAAAATACTTACAAATCTAGCATGTGTGGCTGCCTCTGTGATGAACGGCGCTGGTGTCACAGAAGAGAAAGCAAACACGCCTCCGTGACAATGGAGATGGAGGGGGCTGGGCCTGTCTACAAATGAACCTATTCACTTCTTAAGGGAGATGGTTCCCTTTACATTCTCTACCTCTTCCTTTCCTACGCTGGCCTGTGAGTCCCTGCCTTCGAAAAAACAGCCTTGACTGCTGCCTAAAATAGCCCTGGGAGGTGTTGGAACTTTGATGTGGTGGACTTTTGCATGAATGATTTTCTCTCTCTCTCTTAAGTCTGATACAAATAAGGCTGATTCATTTGGAGCCTTTGCCAACTCTGCCGTCTCCTGAACCTGAGTCTATCTTCATTGCCTGAGCAAGACTGCGAGGTTTTGTCAAACAATGCCATTCAGTGTGCCAGCACTACCCCTCCGAGATATATTTACCCAACATTCCCTCATAAAGGAACAAGGCTTCTTCTGGGAGTAGATTTTGTGTCTTTGAACAGAGACGTTGCTGTTTTGAGTTAAATAAATTAAGAGGGCTCAAGGGCACGAGTGCTTTAAGATATTTGATGGTCTATTCTGGGGCCAACGATAAAAGTAGTACACATGATCTTTGTCAAATAACTTTTAATATATCTTGTTCGTAATCTAGACATTTCCATGTGCAGTTGTAATCAAGCTACAGTGGGTTACATTGGGCAAACTCTCTGTTTAAGTATATATGACCATACTTAATCGAATATTTGATGAATATAACATGTCACCTGTTAGAGCACAATGCTGAGGCCATGTTACATGCTGCACAAAGCCGGGCTAGAATTATATGATGTGTGATGATGAAGTGCACAGTATGTTTTTCTTTGCTATTGAGTGCACTTGTCTGGTTTAGTGTCTGTAGCAAACGTATGATGTCCTGCTGTGGTAAAGCCTCTGTAATCTACAATCCCATTACTCCTATACGGAGCAAGTTAATGGGATTCCAGACCCCTGGATCAAAGCACACTACAACATGCCAGTTTCAATCAGCAGCATATTTTACGCTCTTTTCCTGGATTAAACAGCAAACAATACAAACCCTTTGTATACATCTGCTCAAACTGTGTTAGTGAACATCTCCATGTGGCTGTCTAATTAAGCACTTTGTGGAAAAATGACTTATTCTCTGCCATTTATGAATCAGAAATGATCTGGACATATAGACATATGTAAGGATTGATATTTTGAGATTGTTGTTAATATTTTTTTTCTTATTTTCCAGTTAAAGACCTAAATATCCTAAAAACAAGATAAATGTACTTAATACAAACTTAAATGAAGATGCACTACTTTTCAAAAGTTTGGGGTCAGCAATATTTCCTTTAAGAAATGAATACTTTTATTCAGTAAGGATGCTTTAAAATAATGAAAAGTGACAGTAGCATTTATAAATTAATGTTACAAAATATTTCTATCATAGTTTTTTGTCCATTCTATATTTGATAATTATAAGAATTGCTACTTAAGCAGCAAATCAGCATATTAGAATGATTTCTGAAGGATCATGTGACACTGAAGAGTGGAGTAATGATGCTGATTACTCAGCTTTGCCATCACAGGAATAAATTATTACATTTATTTTTATTAAATGCAGCCTTGGAAAGCACAAGAGACTTATTTAAAAAAATAGTGTAAATTATTTTCATAAAATTCATTTGATAAAATTATATTTTTGTATGGAAAACAAATGATGACAGAAATAATTTTATGGAAACAAATGAAAAACAAAATAAATGAAGACAAAAATACTAGATATTTGTTCAGTATGCCAAATCAAATACAAGTTATATAATTCAAATGATATTTTGAGCAAACAGAGAGTGTTTAAAAGGATTCTGGGATGTCTTACCTGTCCCGCTGTTCTCCTGCTTCTTTCCAGATGTTTTATTCTCTTGTTTAAAGGAATTCTCATCATCTGCATCCCCATCGCCCCACCAGGATGGCTGTCCATACAGTGGGGTTCCCCTGTGCAAGGCTGCTATATCGCCTGTTATAGAGAAGAAAATATTAGCTTTGCTTTGAGGACACAAAGATTAATATACATACAGTATACACAATGCTCATGTATTACATACATACATTCGCGTTCGTGTTTACATATGTCACTGATCTCACCATACTTGAATGAATGAATAAAATAACACATTACAGTAAGTTTTCATTTGTAAACATTAGTTAACAAACCTGAACCTTAATTTCATAAAGTAGAAACTAAATAAGTGTTTCTGATCTGTGGAGGGCAGAACACTTTCCATTTGTACAGGATCACTCCAAACTCAAGTGAATTGATTCAATGATATTGATTCAGTGATTCCTAGTGTTGCAGTCATGTGCTATTCAGAGATGGATCATGCAACTTTAACAGCCGGGGGCTAAGGGACTTTTAGACAAGCCTGACAATTAGCAGGATGAAATAACCAGGTGGCAATGAGATAAGAGTGCATGTTAAACGCTACCCACCCTTGAAACACTGATGTGTGAAAAACAGGCATGGGCGTAGCGCTGTTCCCTTCCCTATTATTAAATACCCAGCAGTTCACGACAGGGCTGGACACAGTTCTAATTACATAGGGTAACACATAAACTACATGTGTGTTTGGATGGGTTAACAGTCTCAAATAAACCCCATGAAGCTGTGGTTTACAGTGATTTTAGCTTATAAAAGCTTATAAGGGCCATTTGCTACTGCAAAGAAAAAAATAATAATAATCTATCGATAACAAATAATAGTTTGCTCAAGTAATGTACTTCTTCAGCAATGTGTTGTCAAAAAAACACACAGAGAAGCAGCACAGTAATACTGATTTTATGAGGTCACAGATGTGCGTTTGTAGATTATTTTACAATACCTCCGAATGCTGCTCAGCCAATCATAATCAAGGACCAGAACTGTCCATTTTATAATACATTTTGACATACTTTAAAGAAAAATGAGTGGTGCTAGACTGTGCTAAAGTAGCCACCATCAATAATAGTTTTGTGGGTGGTTACCAAGAGCTTGCTATGGGGTTGCTGAGGTCTTCTCAGTGGTTTTTTATCATGTTGATAGGTAGTTTCTTACTCATCTAAGTCAAAAGAGCACATCCCAATTATACTCTCTAATATGCTAAAACCTAGATATGACTGTGAATAAGTCTATGTGATTAAAATGAAAAGAACACCTCTCCTCATCAAGCTGAATGATTTGAAGTGTCATTCATGCCCATAGCACAAATGGTCATCAATGGAAAATTAATGGAACTGTCCTAGCCATTAAGAGTTGACAATGTCATCCTTAATTTTCCATTTTCCATTACAGGGTAAAAAAAAAAACAGTTGCAATCTTCTTTTTAAGGCTGGCCGACACTAAAAGATTTTTTAAATGTGGGAGATCACAAACATGATGATTTACAATTTGAGATCACTGCTGCCCTGATGTTCTTCCAAGCAGATTCAGTCAGTCTTAAAGGGATACTCCACTTTTTTTCGGAAATAGGCTCATTTTACCACTCCCCCAGCGTTAAACAGTTGAGTTTTACCGTTTTCGAATCCATTCAGCCGATTTTCTGATATTTAGAAGAATATCAGTAACCAGTCATTTTCTGGTCTCATTGACCTCCATAGTAGGAAAAAAATTAACTATGGAAGTCAATGAGACCAGAAACTGTCTGGTTACTTATATTCTTCTAAATATCAAAAAATCAGCTGAATACATTCAAAAACGGAAAAACCCAACTGTTTAGCTCTGGGGGAGTGGTAAAATGAGCTTATTTCCAAAAAAAGTGGAGTATCCCTTTAACACACATCCCACCACAGGAAAATCTGATAAGATAATCTATAGAACCATCAAGATAATTGGGATTGTTAGAAAGAAGGGGAGAATTGGGCCCCAAATCGGCCCGATTATCTTATAGCCAGAGGGACGTTTTTATCTTTCACGACTGTCAAATGTGTGCGTTGCTACTGTATGAAGAGAGTTAATGGATTTTCTGAATCCTGCCCTGGGCCAGCTTGACCTGAGATGAGATGACAGAAGCTCACTTACACCTGCTGCTAGCCAGTTCCTAGATAAAAACAGACCGAGCTGATTTATATCACCTTGCTCTGGTGAAAAGGGACAATGGATAAGTCAGATGGGGTACCGTAGTGGCTAGTCCAGTATTACTCTTTTAAAGAGTCACATTATTTAATGATGAATCATTGTTTTGCATCACCTGCAAAGTAGTTTATAGATACAAATACAATTATCCATAGCTTACACCCTGACATCATGAAGATGGTTTTTACCTTGCATCTTGTCATCGCCTTTGTTTGCCTCTGCAGGTTTGCCTGCTGTTTCAGCAATGGGCTCTGGAGGTTTTTTCACTTTGGCTTTTTCTGGAGAAGACTTTGGGGATTTTGAGGGCTCTGCACTGGTGGGCTTCTTGCCCAGTTGAAGTTGGCTGGTGAACTTCTCATGCTGGCAGAAAGGAGGGAGAAGAACACAGTAAGTGCCAGAAACCTGTCACTAGACATTACTTCAGGAAGATAAATGCATTACATAAGACAGGCACATTCAATTCTGATATTACAAGTGCCAACATCTTTATAAATTGATGAACCAGCATATTGTTATCCATGTTAACCGAGATTCAGAGATGTAGTGATTGTTTTACCTTCAGAGCCTCCTCTGGCACATGTAGCTCTCCACGCACCACAGTGAACAGGTTGGTATGTGAGTCAAGTTAAGGAAGACTCATAAATAGCTAAAACATGTTGAATGAAAATACACATTCACACAAAGGCTCAAAATTAACTTCCTGCCACTTCACACACATGGGCAACATTTACAAATACTAGGCCATGAAACCATATACATCTAGGCCTACTTCTCATGTTTTGTCATGCACACACACAACTTTGGCATTCCAAATAAATGTGTGAAGAGTTTTCTTCCTTCTACTATGTTCTCTCTGTGATCTGTGGTGCCTCCTCCTAGCAACAATGGTGCAAATACCAGTGATTTGACTACTGCAAACCTTAGTAAATCACACTGCATGATTATTTAAATACTCTCCTTTAGCGTCTGAAAGTGAAACTCCTACAAATGCATATGCATTAAGGTCAGCTGCAAAAATAACTGACCATGATTTTTCATCATTCATTTTTCACTGCATGTCTTTAGTAAATCCTGAAGAGGATTCGTTCCAAAAGAGGTTTGAACTGGCGCAAACTGTTATCAAATCTGGCCCTAATTCTCGAAAGCTTTCAGAAGAAAGTGCATTGAAGGATATCATATCCAAACCTCAGTTTGTCATCAATCTTTAAAGTGATGTACATCTGTTCCTGGATCCTGACATCATTTACAAATGTCTGAAAATAAAAAAGACAAATAAAATTCACATAAAGAGCTGTTCTACTTATACTGGTTGAAATACTTTTGTAAAAAGTTCAAATCGCACAGACAGTTGGGGTTAGAAGTTCAATCAGAAGTTAATTTCTAGTTCACAAAATGTACTGTGATCTTGTCCTATGTACCCTACATAGGACAAGTGGTTTGGAGAATAGACAAATGGATATGAACTGTTTTGTTTATAGAATCTTTAAAGACAATTTTAATTAAAAACATTAGAAGAAAGGTCCAAGTCACAAAACACTAAATCTGATTTCATATTCTATTTTATACAGGAAAAATGGAAAGTTTGAAACAAAACAAAACAAAACAAAGACTTTCCTTTCCCAATTTATGAGAGGATTAAACAGCACAATCTGGGCTTTTTCCAAAATCCACTTTAAAATTATACAAATTGAACAATAATGACAAGCTTATGGTTTAATCTAAAAATCTCCTTGATTTCCAAATCCCCATCAGAATGTACCTATACCTAAAGATCCCCATACACAGCCCATTCACCAGCCATTCATTAAGGCAGCAAGACATTATTTAATGAGTTCGACTTCAAAAGTTCAGTGAACAAATGTTTTACAGATCCCTCTAAACATATCACTACAGTGAGAGCCATCTCACAAAGTCTGAAAACCTTCAAGGTGGTTATAGTGAGCTGTAAGGTCTGCTCTGTCTCAAATATCAGCCACTTCCTGCAAAGCCCAACAATGAGGGGGAGCTAATCGCACTGACAAAGAGCATTCAAGTTTAAAATTTCCATTGAAAAGCTGAATCAATCTCCTCCTCTGTCCTTCCAACAATATCAAGAGACCTTAAGATATTCTTCTGGAATGTGGGGTCACAGTTGGAGAATTTGTGCATGCTCTTCAGTGGCTGACTGCACGTTATTTCCCTTCATTCAGTTCAGTTTTCAACATGTGCCAACTTCAACTAAAGAAATATGGTAGTTTCATGCAACGCCTGGGCTTGTTGTGTGAGGGTTTTGTTGAAAAAGGATCCTGTGTCAACATAAGTGTAAACGGTACTGAAACTGCTAAAAAAAAAGGTGGATAATATGCTGCACACACTATAATAGCCATTTCCTGCCAAAGCAGGACAGGAAGAGGAATTCTTAAGCATGACTCAACAGGAAGAGGTTGTAATTTGTGTGAGTGGCCCCACGAGTTCTGATTTAGTCATGAAGATTCTGCTGACCTCAAACAGACAGACATAATCTAACACAAACATAGAGCACAGACTCAGGAAAAGCAGGCTGAACCTTAATATAACTACCAGGTTAAGAATCAAGTATGAAGAGGGAAGTTTGTATTTAATCTGTGTCAAGATTCAACAAGAGGCTAAATATACATAAAATGGAAATTTTTAAAGAACCTAGCCTGTTTTTTTTTTATAATAATGTTTTGCTGACTGTACATTATCCTGCACATTACATGCTTTGTACAATTTTCCACAATTTGTTTATTTAAAGGCAGTGGAATTTATTTATCAGCAATGTCCCACTCCATTCACTTTCACTCTTACTCACCCCATTCAGGCTTCCTAGATCCTTCACTTTGTGCTCGTCACTGCTGGACTCATAGTTGATGACTGCATGCTGCTTGTCTACACTGCGAGACTGCAACAACAGACAGGTAAAAAAGCAGGAGTTACTACCCTAAACAGTTTGTGCTGAGCATTATCACTTCATAGATTTGTTATTATTGGAAGCTAGTTCATATGCAGTCACATAAGTATTTCACCTTGTAGCAATGATAGAATTTGAAGGTGACATATCTCACGTTTGCAACATACCAGACATCTAAAGAGAAACGTTCTCTCACACATGTATTACAGATTGGTTGTAGCCTCAAGTGAAGACACATCAAATTTTGCGGACAAAAAAGTTCCATTGTCTATTGTCAATAGCATAGAGTTGTATGACGCAAACCCCACAAAGAACTCACTTTCAAACCAAGCTATTTTCTGTTGGTCAACACAGTAAATTTGAGCAACTTGAATATGTTGCAAAATCTCAGTGGGGGTATCTTCCAACCTATTGTAAAAATACAAAAGATTGAATTGACTGTATTTTGCTGATTAATATTTGCTAAAAAATGGTAATTGTTTAAGGTTAAATGTCAAAATTAATGGTTTAATTCATCTTCAGGCACTGTATATTCATTTTAACAATGTGGTGATCCACTAGAGGAAAGGCCAGTCTCCAAAGAAAGTGTAAGTTGCTCAGCATAAAACAAACATTAAAATGAACAAATAAATGTAACCAACCACAGAAGTTTAAGGTGTAGAACCTATATATACACACCTAAAATGAGTGTACATGAGCACAGTGGCTCTATTTTAAGCCACTCATCCTCAGTTCAGTGATAAGGAATCTAATACTTTACCAATCTATTTTGAGACAAACCATGTGACCACTAAATGTATTGTAACGCAATCACATGATTAGATTGATTTATGCCTGACCCTATCATGAAAGGGTCAAAGAGGAAAATGGGGGTTTCCTGTGTAAACAAAGCCTCGTTCATGTCTACCCAGAGACTAGTGTTTAAATGTCTGAAACCCCAGAGTCAGTTTGTTCATCTACAGTCTACTACTCACCATTTTAAAGGCTAGTCTATGAGCAGTTTATGCTAGCCTGCGTTCACTACAGGCTTTTTGTTATTGTTTTGAGGCGCAAAGAAGATATTTCCATTAGAGACTTTAACTCAAGCCCTCAGATGGCCCTTTTCACCTCAGAGGTGCTGTATGTGTTGTGAGAGGTATTTAGCGCTTTGTTATGAGTTACACAGTACACAGCTTTTCTTCAAGTGGCTGATATTACAGTTTGTGTCGTGACACGTCAAGTTTGTTTTGTAGTTTGACCAGGTTACTCAGCTCTCTAATGATATGACTGACACTCTCTCTCTCTCTCAATGTTTGGCATTACAGTCTATGATCTCGTAGTTTGACACTGGAGTACAACTATAAGTACATCATGAGCTGTTTGCCCCACTTTCTATTAATAAAGCAGCATGACTAACACATGTATACTGATGCTGAGGTAGATAGTAACAGTCATGCCACTTAGGAACACAACTTTCCTCCTGGGTATGACTTAATCTCCATCCTTCCTATGATCATTACACAGAGCTTGTGAAGTACACTAACATTCAATAGTTTAGGTTCTTGAAAGTCTTTTATGCTCACAATGGCTGCATTCATTTGATTAAAAATACAGTAAAACAGTAATTTTGTGAAATATGTTTGCTGTTTTCAAAAATGTTTAAAATGTGATTTTTTCCTGTGATGGCAGAGCTGAATTTTCAGCATTATTTCTCCAGCCTTCTTTGTCACATGATCCTTCGGGAATCATTCTAGTATGCTGATTTGCTGCTCAAGAAACATTTCTTATTATTATCAATGTTTCTATTCTAACCCTTTAACATCCAGATTGCAATCACTGTTAAATGGTCTAAATGTATTTAATGGTATATATATATGGTTTGTGGAAGGTGTAGGACCATACAATACTAGTTATTTATGTTCATTATTATTGTAATGTTAGGCTATATGCTTTGAGACATGATGTAGTTTAACGCAGTCTCGTTTGACGCATTTGTTTGCTCTCTGCTATACGGAGGCGTGGCTTTGGAGACGTTCTGAAGGATGGGTGGGATCTTCTGCTTTCAAAGCTAGCTCCCAATTGCTAGCCTCTCCAAAAAATTGCCTACCCTACCTTTAATTTTTTCATGTGATATTTTTATTTTATTTCAATTAACGAAAGCATTTTTAGTAGTTTTACTTTTAACTGAGAGACACCCTTCCTGACCTGAAGCATAAGCTCGCAGTCATCGCGACCCACAAAGATCATCTCGCGGGGCAGCCGGTGCCGCGTACCCCCGCTGCTCACGAGGAACCAGGATGTGAGGCTCATCTCTGCACTCTTCTCCAGCCTCAGTCCCTACGTCATCCTGATGGACAGATAAAGAAAGAGAGGCATTTATGAAAAAACTTTCAATCAATAACATTCCATTTCTTACTCCATAGAAACTTTTACAAAACTTTAATAAAAAAAATTGGGCTTTTATAAAGAGATCACGTCCGTCCCACAGAGACGTTTAAATTTGAACCGACAGTGGAATGTGGGTGGAGGGAGAGAGAGTCATCCGTTAGACCGCGCTGAAATCTGCTGTATGCTGACTCTTTTCTGAAGCTACAGAAGTCTGGGACGCTTCCCTCCTCCCTCACTGCCTATGATCATTGCCAGATGCGGCAGGAAGTGATGTAGGCAATTTGGCTGCACACCCTACTGGGCTCTGGGATTTTTTTTCCCCTTTCTATGAAAAGGAGGTCACATTCAGCTGCTTCGGGCTACAGCTGCAAATGGTCTGGGAAGAGGAATTTAATGTATCCTCCTGACATACAAACCCACTAGCCCCTTCTAAGTGACCCAGTGATACTCTGGAACCTCCTTTATTTGACAAAATACATGGTACTCCAAAGTATACCATTGGTAGGATTCATGCATTTCAATGGTATTCATCATCAAGCTATTTACAGCAATGAACAACCTCAAACACATATGGACAAATGAAAAACAGAGTGGGTTTCACTGACATCTGACCTACAATAACAAGTCTCTATATAACTGTTATTATTGAAGAAAGCACGCCTGTCACCTGGAAGACCCTCACCACTAATTTCAGAGCACTCACAAGCAGCTAAGGCTACTTCACATTGGATATTGTAAAATACCTTTTTATTAGCATACTGTCTCACTATGACAACATCTTGATCAATAATGGGTGCCATTTTGATAAATGGGCCCCATGTTTGCTGAGAGCGCATTATGATTATACTGCTTGAAGAGCTGGAACACAATATCCACTCTCTGAAATACAATATAGCTGAGTGAGTCTGCCCTCCACTTATAAATTCTAAAGGTCTACTTAGTGATGTAAATTAGATGTAACCAATATGTTTTAAATCTACATAATTTAACACACTAAATATGAAAATCTAATAATAAATTTTTTAGTGTTTTTCTTTTTTTTTCAAGTTTGTAATGAGAATGATCTACTTTAGTCTATTCTGTACTTTTTGACAAATATATAGCCTACTTTAGTTATAGGTCTGCATTTCTTCCTTTAATAAGACTTTTTGTATAATAATATTAAAGGATGTAAGAATGTATTTAAATTTGTTGTATAATTAACTCTTTTGTCAGCCTGCGTCTAATGCGATAACATATGGAAGCTTGTTTCTGCCACGGAATAAACTTTTTATCTTAAAATTTTGCCTTTTTTTTCAGAATCGCATGATATAAAGTTGCAATTGCAAGTTATAAAGTCAGAATTGTGAGAAATGAACTTGCAATTCTGACATTTATATACATTATGAGATATAAACTCGCAATTGCGTGTTATAAAGGCAAAATTGTGAGAAAAAAATCTGAATTGTGAGTTTATATCCCGCAACTCTGACTTTATAACTCGCAATTGTAACTCTGACTTAATTCTGCAACTGCGACTTTATACCTTGCAATATTTACTTTATAACATGGATTTGCAACTTTTTATCACGCAATTCCTTTATTTATTTTTTTATTCCATGGCAGAAATAAGCTTCCATAATAACACAATTACATAACAACAAAAAAAGTATTTTGTTTGAAAAGCCCAGTCCTTAAAAAAAAGAAAGTTCCAAAACTAAACCCTGTGAGTGTTTTATTCAGCAACAGAGGTATATTGGCTCTAGGATCGGGTCAATGTGTTGAACAGGAATACGTTTTTAGCTTGGGAGCTTACAAGAAATAGCTGAATACCAGCAGCTGGCTGGAACACAAGCATTAATCGAGCAACCGCAGGAAAGCCTTTATACCCGTCAACTACCCACGGAATTCAGGAATAAGCACAACGTGGCATTGGCGCTCTGATGTGGTGCGATATAACATTTTATTTTAATAAGACATGAAAGAGCTTTGGAAGCAGGAGAATGTTGCTCGTCAGTACCTTCTGATGAACACATGCATTCAAACCAATCGCAATCTTCAAACCCATCACAATCCCTGCATGGCTGCTGAGACAATCTTGAGAATAAGAATACTTAAAGACTTAATTTAAAAGCTTAAAAACGAGAAGGCAAATCTGCAGACTTTACTCTTGGAGTGAGCTTCACCTTCTTAGAAGCACACGTATGCTTAAGATTTCATGAGTCGCCGAATAGATGCATTACTTTCTATTTAAGCAGCTCTGTGCCCCAAAAAGCTCCCCCTTTCTTTCAAACTGAGCGACATATGGTGTTTTTAATGGGTGAAAGGGTGATTTCACCATGCTGGCTGTGACTGCATCCTCCCGCCTCAATGTCTGAAGAGATGGATTGTTTTGGGTTGACGGAGTGTGTATGCAATGCACAGGAAGTGTGGCTAACGCTTCCTCCTGCACATCTCTGAATCTCTGTCATCTTTAAGAGGAATAAGGCACTGATTCACTCTGGAATAAAAGAAACAGCAATGCAGGAAACCACCATTTTAATGAGGAATAACAACTGGAATGACTAAAATGGGACGGATTACGGTGTTTTTTGTTGTACTACACATAAAAGTAAAACATGTTCTTTTCAGACTGGTGTTTCTCTTGCATTTCTGCATGAAGTCTACACCCATCTAATGAGATCTCCAGCCAGATGATGACACAACCGTGTAAGTGTCCTCCCTAATTTCCCTGACCTCATATCATGACCCATGAGTACTAGCCTGACCCTTCTCTGCTGCAGCCCAATCAGACAAACAGACGTTCTTAAAGAAACTGTTCATCCCCAAAAAATGCATTTTTTGACAAAAAAAGTCAATATATGACATATATAAAGCAATGTCAAGCATGCAAAACGCACACAAAATGCACACATTTAGATTCAACAGTGCAATTTTGACCAAGTGCGACTTATTTCACAAAAAAATACGGTATATGGAATAGAGCATGAGTATTATGCACCTTTTGTGTTCCACAAAAGAAAGAAAGTCATGTTTGTAACTACATGAAGGAGAGTTAATGATGACAGAATTTTCATTGTGGGATGAACTATCCTTTTCAAACTTACTGTGTGAGATTAACACTTCATGACAGACAAGGTTTAAGTACAGCTGATGCAATGTGACATGAATGTCGCTCATTCAGAAATGTAACGTTTCGCTATACAGTGAAGTCCTTGTGTCTGTGAATGACAAGTGAAGGATCCAAGTCCTTGAACTGATGTTGCAAGGCAACTAAACTGTGAATTATAACAACACTGTTAAAACAACAAGTAAAAATTCAATGTTCTCACTGCTGCCATTAGTATCTCTTCACTGAGGCATCACAAACTGTTCATTTTATTGTCTCGGTTCATTGCTTTCATCTAACACACCGCACTCAGAAATGAAATCTTCATCATTCCGTTTCTCTTACAAAGCATTTGGTTTGCTTTGTCAAAAAAAAAAAATGGATTCTTATTTCCAGAAACATATAAGCCTGAGGGCATCTGAGCCTTCTGTCTCAAACCTAGGAAGGCATCGACTACATTTCTGACTAGTCACCAGACAGTATACGCTAATCTATTTTAAGTGCACCTCTATATGCTAATGCTGGGAGAGAAAACGATCCACAGACAACCTCAATGCTTAAGAAGAATACAGTAAGTGGGCCTGACAGAGTGAACAGTGGTCTTTTATTCAGTTAATTCAAGGTGATGTTTGCACTGGAAGGGAATAGGCTAGATTTAGTGTTGTGTGTGTGACAGTGTATGTGCCATTCACCTTATTCCACATCTGATATTAATAAATGAGATACAATGCATTGTGCCTTTTAAAAATGCCTTTCCAATAATTGTCTAAAAGTGCAGTCACATAGCAAAATTCCAGTCCCAAACTCAGATCCATTGTCCATTATCAACAGTATAGTAATATAAGAAGCAAAGCTCACACAGAAGTCACTTTCAAACAAAGTAGCTTTCAGTTGGTCAGCATGGCGAATTCATGTGACCAACTTGAACATCAGTGAAATCTGCATAGGGAAATCATGCCTTTAAAGTTCACACACGTTCGAAATTCTAGAAGTAAAAATACTCAACTACTTCACTGATCAAATAGATGTTGGACTATCATCGAAGGCTTCAAATCTTAACAAATTTAGCCTTCCAATGAAATAAATAATTAAAGGGGTCATTGATGCAAAATTCACTTTTACATGGTGTTTGCATATAAATGTATCTTTGCAGTGTGTGAAAAAACCACCACAATACAATGAGAAAAATCCATTCACTTTTTTATCCTCAAAAAGTCTAAAATCTCTCAATAATCCGGCCGTTTGGATTTTCTGAGCACTATGATGTCATCATGCTCCGCCCCTAACCACTGACGGACTGTCCCGTATTAGCATATTTTTGCCCTTAGCCATTCATCACCCCCCATGGGAGAGAGGGGTGGGAAGAGCAGTTGCTCATTATCATTTAAAAAGACATGCACCAAAACAGGTCACTGTGAACAAAGCTGTTTTTGAGGAGGTAAAAAGCGTGCTGTTTTACACAACTATTAAGGAATTTTAACCAAAGTATAGTACAAACTTTACATGAACGCCCTAAAGAATCATACCAACTTGTGGAAAATGGGCATCCGATGACCCCTTTAACAATAAAACCAGAACAGTCTTTATCAACAAAAAGTATAACCAAATGTAAAACAACACCTGACGTCCAAATTGGCTAAATCAACACTGTACAGTCTTCATTGTCCTTTAGTGGATTTAAGTTAGAAGGATTAATCTAGTCTTAAAGAAAGAAATGCACCAAAATCATACAGCCCTATTTTTTCCTGTAGGGTTTCTGTCATTGCCATGTCTCCACAATGACTTTACAAATGATTGTCCTTTTCAAACTCCTAGTAAAACTGCCAGTCCAGTGAATCTAGTGATTTTAGCTGCACCTAAACGAGTTTTGCATCATCTGATTGGCTCTTCTAATCTATCTTTATAGAGACCACTGATCAAACAAAACGATAATCGGCCAATAGCAAATTGTGATCAGATCACCCTTGAATCATCCATCTAAACTACTAGATACAAATGATAAATATAAGTAAAATTAATTTTTATACCTACGGCCACATCTCTGTGCAGAAAATGAGGCCAATGCAGTAAAACACGCTGAGAGAGCAAATTTGGGGATGCTGTAAAAGTACCATATGGCCATGAGAAGCAGACATCTCATTTACATCATCAGCATGTGGCAGGAGGAAGAAAGATCCATCATTAATCCAAATCTAATACTCTTGTGACTAGACCTTATCAGAAACAACAAAATGTGTCCATTGGGTGGTAATAAACACATAATGACATACTTGACACAACAGACCTACTTATGCAAATCAACAACCAGTAAATGTTTCTGACTAAAGGGAATTTCTGCTGCATGTTCAGACACCAAATCAGAATTACAATGAGCTATTCATTTTGTGACTTACACTACCGTTTTGTTTGGGGTCGGTAAGATTTATTTGAATGTTTTTGAACGACATACTGTATATTGTGCTCACCGAGGCTGCATTTATTTGATCAAAAATTCAGTAAAACACATTGTGAAATAGTATTATAATTTAAAAAATATGTGTTTTCTGTTTTAAAATAGCTTATAATTCATTCCTGTGATGACAAAGCTGAATTTTCAGCAGATATTACTCCAGTCTTCAGTGTCACATGATCCTTCAAAAGCACTGCACTGTTGGGATTCATCAAGTTTGAAATGTTGACAGAGATGTTTTCCAGATTTTCCACCGTGTTCTCTCCATATTTACTCTTTGAATTCTTGCACCCAGGAACAAAACAAGTCAAAAAGTTTGCTGAGAGGTATTTCCTACTAAAGCAACCCAACAAAAATCTTAAGATATTATATTGAAAAATACATATGCAAAGTTATTTTGTATAGTTTATTAAGGAGTGAAATTATCACGTATGTACTAATTGTCTGATAATATTAGTTTATAACTAATGCTGCCAGCATGTGATTCTCTCCGTCTTCTTTGTAAATCAACATTCAATTGGTACTTCCGTATAACAACAGGAAGTTCACTGGATTGGTCAGTCAACAAGATCCAACTGAGGATATGATGCTGACTTATAAATAATTAATGATTTGGGGCCATGGGTTCACAAAAGAAAGATTTTCTTGTGAAAGCCCCAGACTCAGTGATATGTTTTGGTTGTGGATAAGCTCTGAGTCAGACAAATCTTGATGTCTTATGAGCAATAAAACATCCCAGAAAATTATTTAATTAAAATTAATTAAAACATCCCAGAAAACTCATTCCGTTCAAGTATCTGTTTTTCTTTGTTTTAGGGTTTTCTTTTTTATCTCAAGAGAAGAAATAATTAAAAGGTAGTCAAAAAATCTAAATAACCACAAAAACATTGTCTACTACTGTGGCTGTGACAGTACTGCAACAATTTTGCATTTTAGAACCCAAAAGGAGATGGACTGAAAAAAGGATGTGGACCATGACATGTATTAAAAACAGCTGGTTCATAACCTAAATTGGAATAGGGTATACTAATTACAGATTAGTAAAACAAAAAGACAAGCAAACACACATAACTGAATTTTGTGTAATTTTTGTTGTCACTGTTTGACATTAAAAATATATTCAAATACCAACTGAAAAATGTATGGACACTGAATAGAATATGTCAATATTATACACACACACACAAACAAATGCTGTCTAAGTTGGCAGCTCAACTGACTAGAGACAGTCACAACATAGGCTAGTTATAACAAACTCTAGGGAAGTAACAAATACCTCAGAAACCCTTGTTCAACAATTAATCTACACCATTTAGTATCAAACCTTATCACACAGGACAGTTCACTGTCAAGAAGAATGGCTATTTTGACACTGTACAGTTTTCCTCCAAAACTATATGTAGCAAATATGTAATAACAATGTATAAACATTTTGTATCGTTGAAAAGTCCCATTAATATTGCATTCAAAATATATGTAGGCCAGATGTAGCAGAACAAAACAAGAGCCTTTGTGAAAACAAAGGATTCTGCGCAGTGCCCTTCACAGTGTGCAGCAGTGCCCGGCAAATCATCCACATCTCTTACACACCCGAATTACAGCACTGAAATGTTGTTGTTTTTGATGGTTCGCTGCGATAGAGAGCAAATATTACGATACTAAGCCAGATGCCATGCGTTTGGGAAAACTGGTGACCAGTGCTCGTATCCTCTTCGTGCACCATAGTCAAACTCCCTATTTCATTTATACACACATTATTAATACCTCCGCGCATTATATCAATGAAGTACACACAGCGTATGGTTAAAACACGCATAAAGATAGGCGATGCTCGTGCTAGTGTGATATTTATTCAATATGATAGAACTGGCTAGCAGTGTCCTGCTATTACATTTACGGTATCCTTTTGACCACACGATAAGATCAGATCCCAGAAAAAGCGTGCATTCTGTACATCTCAGGCGTAACGTTATGGCAAAATTCGAACAAATGAATTATTACGCTAGCTTTATTGTAGATGCCGTATTGTTGTGTGCACTAAATATACGAATGGCTCTTTATAAGATCGCTCACTCACCCTTGCTCTTCTTTTCGCTGTCAGTTTTATCCCAGGCTTCAATGCAGCAGCTAAACGGTTTTTGTAGCCCAGCCCAGTGTGTATCCCCACGTCTCCTATTTGCCCCAGTTGCTCAGCAGCAATAACGTTATTCCTAACAAATAGCGGCGACATACGGCAGCCTGGAATCAGGCAAGTAGGAGGACAACGTTTGCAGTTCCAACACAGTCCGGTGGGCGTGTCCTAATACAATGACAAACGTATACAATCTTTTATAGATTTTTTTTTTGTTTATTCAAAATGAACTTTGGACGTATATATATATATTGTTTAACAATAATACGTATTTTTGACAGTAAACGATCAGTACCATAACATCGTGAGTAGCGGAAATGCCCGTCTTGTAGTTTTTAACTCCAAAGTGACCCAAGCAATTTGGTGTTTTAAAAAACTACAAGTCCCTTTTGACTTTGCGTCATTTACGGAAGAGCACCTCTGCCATGCAACCGTTGACGTGTTTTTGGACGTCGTTCATTGATACTCTACTATGAGAAATTGTATGGAATATTTACAAACACACATTATTGGCTTTATTACGTGTTTCAGGCAACAATGAAACCGTCCCTGGACTCAGACGAAGAGGAGGAATTAGGAACATTACAGAAGACATTGAGAGGTGATGTTTAGAACATTTCAGCCTAGCGTTGCTCTCCACAACGCTGTAATATTGAAAATGATACCACAGAAAGCAAATTATGCGATGTAAACAGTTTATTCACACTTAAAGTGACCCCCTGACAGGAGAGTATCCATTGTAAACACTGGCAACAATGTAATGTAACTCAATTAACGTTAGATACACAAATACTCAAACTTGTTACTACATATTTGACATGTAGCATATACATTATATAGGTTATTTAATTCATGTTATCTTATTCTTATTTTAAGCTATAAAATCAATGTGTATGTGTGATTTCAATGTTTAAGAGCGAGCCAACCGCAGTATCCAGCATCTCTCCAGCATGTTGTCCAGCCACAGCACTGACTCTGAGTCTTCAGAACCAAAGCAGCAGCAGGAGATGCTCAGCTCAGTGAAAAATCCCTGTATGCTAGTTCAACAGAGTGAAGCGGGTACGATCATGCTGGAAGAATGTTACTTTTCTGACGAATCATCATTGCAAAGGACTTCATGGCATCCTGCTGATTTTAGAAGCCTTATTTTTGTGCAACTCCTTTATTATTATTATTATTTTTTTTATTTTTTTCAGTCAATCAGCTGCGTTCCTTGCTTCAAAAGCAGTCCAAAGATGCAAATGTTCAATCATCTTCGCCTTCTAAGAGGAAATTGGCAGGAAAGGTACTCTGTTTATTGCTAACTCCAGGGTTTGAGTTGATGAAAACATAACATAAAAAACAATTCAAATGTGTTAATTTTATTTGCTTACCTGCATCTCATTGGACAATTAACTGACTCAAGTATTTAAATCTACTTTAAACTTAAAATCTACTTTAAATCTCTTAGGTCAAAAGAGTTTGGCTGACAAACTACTAATTAGTTTAAATGTTTATGTCACCATCGCATGCTCATTGCTCTGTTTTTAGTGAACGTCATATATTTTATTGAGCTACGACTTTCCTGTAGCTCAAACAATACAGCATACAAGAATTGATAAGAATGTAAATGTCTACCCTGAAATGCAATGTAATTTGCGTTGGATAAAAGCATCTGCCAAATGCACAAATGTAAATGTAATTATATTATATTTTAATATACACTGCTCAAAAAAATAAAGGGAACACTAAAAGAACACATCATAGATCTGAATGAATGAAATAATCTTATTAAATAATTTTTTCTTGTTTTTACTTTTTAAGTGTTGTTTAAGTGTTCCCTTTATTTTTTTGAGCAGTATATATATATATATATATATATATATATTATTGCTCTTATTTGTAACTTGCTCAATGTTAACATTCATGTGTACTTAAAAATCGAATATGTCGTGACCTTAGCAAAGTGTCATGGATGAGGGCAGTAGCAGTCAGCCTGGATTTCATGACTTGGTTCCCATCATCCACAATCAATCTGAGTACATTCAGCACCTGGAGGCCGAGGTCAAGTTCTGCAAGGTCAGTCATGTTAATTAACATGAGATATTATCTTATGGTCAGAGGCTTGATGATGGGGGTTTCCCCAGTAGTCTTCAATTTGTCATGTGATTGCAATTTGACTTAAGATAGTTGTAAATGTTTGTTTTGTTTCCTTTCTAAAGGATGAACTCCTTGGAATGAAACAGAGAGTGAGGGTGGTAATCGTGGAGAATGAGAAACTACATGAGGAGCTTAAAGCAAAGGCGGTTGAAGACACTCTTAAAGAATACACATTTGCAAACAGCACGGTACTCTTTTCCATGAGGCTTTTTGTTATGGTGTTGCTGATAGCAGTGGCAAATGTGACACTATAATGATACAAATTATGAAAATAGCTTGCAGTCTGCATACACGTACACATACAGTATAGACTTTTTATTGTTTTTAAATGTGTGCACAGAATTTTGTCTCATATTCTGTGATTGTTATTTTGTTGACTCTGTCCTCTATTTGATCATTTTCAGTTAAACATGGAGCTCACACCAGAAAAGCTTTTAAAGCAAAGACTTGGCTCCAGTAATCAAGCTGAGGACCACAAGTGGAAGAAAGAAATGGTATTTGTGGTTAAACATTCATGTAGCTGAAAATGTGACATGAATAAACGGACTGAATATGCACCACAAGAGTGATTTCCATCTCTTTCTCTAAGGAGCAGCTGAAGTGTCTCTATCAAGCACAAACGGAGACCCTGGAGGCTCAAGTGGTCTCCCTGAAGTAAGTGGGCTTCAATCAGTGGCCAAGCCTGAAATATTTTCTCTCGCTGAATCAGACCACACTAAAATACACTCTTACAATCTTATTGAATTAAACATTTTATTAATTTGCATCAGTAAAAAGTCACATAAAATGTCATTTTAGCATGCATTCTGGAGTGAGAGCACATCCCTGATTATAAATGCCTATTGCTGAAAAAGTAGATTGCCTTAGTGTAGGTCAATGTGATTTATGATACAATGTGACTTCCTTTGTACTTATAGTGTGATTGTACTTATTGCGCATCTGCAATATTTGCACTGATTCTGTCCACCAATTGAAGCAACCAGTCATCATATATGCATAATGCAACAATCTGCATGTTTGTGTAGGAAAGACTTGGCAAGCATTCAGAAGGAATATGAGGAGACGAAAGAACGACTGAGGCACAAAGAAGCGATGGCTGTGGCGGTGGGCAGTGGTCAGCGTGTGGGTGGTCTGTGTCTGAAGTGTGCCCAGCATGAAGCGGTCCTGGCAGAGACGCACTCCAATGTCCATGTACAGAGCATTGAAAGACTCACTAAGTAAGTGTGTTTTTAGTGTTTTGAATGTAAGTATGTGTCTAAGACCTGAAATAATTACAGTATTCTATTAGATATAGAATAGTTAGGCTTCTATTTGTTATAGTAATTATAGTATTCTATTTCAAATAGAATAGGCTTCTTTTTGTACTCTTTTTTTTTCTTCTAATATTAGTGTTCATAAGTTTGGGGTCGGTAAGACTATTTAAAATGTTTTTGAAAGATGTCTCTCATGATCACAAAGGCTGAATTTATTTGATTGAAAAAAAAACAGTAATAACAGTAACAGTGTGAAAATATGATTGCAATAATTTAAATAATTGTTTTATATTTTAGTGTTTTAACATACATTTTTTCCTGTCATGACAAAGCTGAGTTTTCAGCACTACAGTTGTCAGTGTCACGTGATCCTAGAAATTAGTCTTATTTGCTGCTCAAGAATCATTTATTATTATTATAACGAGTGTTATGGTACGAGTGCACAGTTGTTCTGCTAAACGTTTTTGTGGAAATTCTGAAATATTTTTTCCTGATTTTTTGATGAATAGACATCTTTTGGAACATTATAAATGGATTTACCTTTGATCAATTTAATTCTTGGACTCCTTGCTGAAAAAAGGATTCATTTCTTTAAAAAAAAAAACATACTGACCCCAAACAATTTGAAAAAATTATTAGTATTCATAAAAAAATTATAATGTAAATGTTAAAAAAAATCACAGAATTGATTATTGAAAATTCTGTTGATTCTTTATTGAAAATTGCAGTCTGATATTTTTTATAAACCGGATTTACATTTTGATTTTCAAACACACTGAATGACTTGAGAAATATTGATGTAGCCACTGCCTTGCCCTTGGAGTCAAACATCTGGGTTAATTAACACTGGTGGGCTCCTCCGACCACTTTTATTGATCTGTGTTGATGTTGATTTAGTCAATTATTTGTCCTCACAGCAAGGTTGTAAGAAGTCTCGACTGGTCATGAAGCTAATCTGCTGGTTTCCTGATTATGTGTCAGATCAATGTCTGCTTTCAGTAACCTGATGAGATGCGTGTGTTTGTGTCTCTGTTAGAGAGCGGGATGAGCTGATGACCGTGCTCTGCTCTCTAAGGGCCAGTCAGACCGAGGCCCAGCAGAGAGAGTGGGCAGCCTATCAGCAGGTTAAACAGGCAGTGGAGATGGCAGAAGAGGCAAACCTGGAGAAGACTAGAGTATGTGCCAAAATGATTTGAATATGAGTTTTACTGCTTTGGATGATCATAAATACTTACGGAGTACTGTGTAGGCTAGAGATAGGAAAACTCATTGACCTTGACCTTCGGTCTGTCACTGTGCACCTGCAGGCTCTGGTACAGTGTGAGCATTTCCACAATGAGCTGACTAGACAGCGGGAGAGGCTGGAGAGAGAGCTGGCATCTGAACAGGAGAAGATCTCCCAGGCCAGGGAGGCAGCACGTTCAGAGAGCAAGAAAGAGAAAGAAGAGCTCTCCCAGACTGTTAGTTACCCTACCATATTAAGAAATGTTTTTTTTACTTTACATGTATGCTGATATATTCAACTGACTAGTATGACTGTCTATGTTCAAAAAGACTGGATGGTTTGACAAAACTAGTTTATGCTGCCCCCTAGTGTCGTTTTAAATGTGGCACACAACTACAATTTTGATGGATGACTTCAGATTCAGATTTGTTTTTTTTTTTAAAGTCAGAACCTGGAAGACTTATTCGGCACTGGTTTCAACAAAATTTTCCTAAAGAGTTTTATAATGGGGTTAT